GGTTTTAATACCTCATATAACCAAAACCATGGCGCCGAAACTTACGTTACTTGTGAAGGAAGGGAGATTCACTGACAACATCAGAAATGAAAGCAATTCAATTATTGTAAACTTATTATATGCCAACTTCCTTCACTCCTTTAGTGTGGGAGAGCCAAGCTTCGGCACGAATGGGTCGGCTCGACCGGAGTGATACCACGGCCTCACAGAATACCGGCGTGAAACAACCACAACGTTGTGTTTCGCCTTGTGAGTGAGGTTACCGGAGGCCCAATCTCGCCCTTTCCCCTATCCCTTCCCGATCCTTTTATCCGCAACCCCTATCCTCAAAAGGCCGGCAACGCACTCGTAACTTCTTTGGTGTTGCGGGTGTCCATGTGCAGCGTCGATTGTCTACCATCAGGTAATCCGTCTGCTCGTTTGCCGACTTATACAATAAAAAATACTTTCTTACAATTTATCCTGTGGATTTTTTTTTAATGGTAATGTTTTTTCGGTACAAACGGGCCGGCTCGACGGCTCGCCAAAGTGCCATGGCCTCACACAAAACCAGCGTGACAAGAGACTTGTTTCATGTGAGGTCATGTTCAGGTTAGGAGGGTGTATGGATGGGTGTTTGTAACTCTACAACGTAAAAACTTTTTTTTTTTTTTTTAAAAACGTTGCCCCACACTAGGATTTTCTCCTGTGTCGTGGGTGCGTTTACAAACATACAATTTCACATGCACATCACACCCAGACCCGGAACAACAATCTGTGGATCACACAAAGAGTTGTTCCGTGCGGGAATCGAACCCGCCACACGTTGCGCGGCAGCCAGCCACCGTGCAGTCAAACTGCTGAACAGATTTGACTGCACGGTTGGTGCGGTGGCTGGACAAATGACTGTCGCACAACGAGTCGGAGGTTCGCTTTTTCGCTCGGAATAACTGTTTTTGTGATCCACTAATTGTTGTTCCGGGTCTGTGATGTGTTGGTGAAATCGTACGTTTGTAAACGCACCCACGACACAAGAGAAGACCGTTTGGCAAATAGTTAAATAAAAAAATTGGCACAGGAATAGATAGATAGAGAGATATATAGTCTAAAATAACAAACAGGCTACTTTGCACCCTAGTATCGCGGATGAAGCCACTACTAGGAGCTAGTCTATAGTAATATTATGAAGAGGTAAAAGTTTGTAAGTTTGTATGGAGGGGGTAATCTTTGGAACCACTGGTCGGATTCTCAAAATTCTTTCACTTATTGATAGCTACAATGTGCCTGAGTGCTATAGCTATAAAACATCACGCTACTATAAAATGAAGCCGAGCAGCGAGTGAAACTGCGCGGGAGTAGCTAGTTTCATATAAAACTTCTTGCTTCCCAAGCATTATATTGATACACAACTAAAAGTAAGTAATAAAACAAACTCTAGCATTCCTTTGTTATGCAAATCATTTCACACGATCAAGATAAATAACCATATAATAAAGAAACCCGTTACCTATGGTATCAATGGCCGTAAACATTGAATTTATTTGCTACTTGATAAAAATCATAAATTCTTAACAGGTAGACAATGTCACCGTAATCAATCAAACTTCAAAAGTATAATTAGAAATTATGTATAAGTCAAAGTTTCCTCGCGATGTTTTCTTTCACCGTTTATCAGTGGTGTCTAAATATATTTACTTAGAAAGCACATATAACTTAGCAAAAGTCATATTGGTACTTGCTATGTTTCAAAGGTTAATAGATAGTTAATTTAATATTTATACTTATAGACCATGTGCCAAAATGTTTTCTTATTATATTTTTATCTATTTTATCTTCAAATTCTTACTACACACTCCTCCACAGAACTATCATCGTAGATATATATAATGATTTTGAGGTACCTAAAATAGAAACCTAATCCCACTAAGAGTATCAGATAACATGCGGTCCGCGCGCACCTCAAACGGTCAATAGACCACCAGTCTAGGGCTGATGTTTAGCCGGGGTAGCGGGGCAACCGCAATAAGGCTTTACGGCCTCGGCCTAGAGCAGAAGAAGGAACGGGAGGATTTTTAGTTAATAAGAGTCTGACACTCCCTCCCGCCCGGCCCTGGGCGGGAGAAGTCATTTGATGATATTCCCCTCACAAAAAAAAACATATAATATACTTTAGATTACGTTTCCAATACTACTTTTATCTTACTTCTTGACGTACTAAACTCGTTTCAATTTCCTTAAGAACCAGTCCAAGAAGAAATGAAACAACTAAAACAACAAACAATGCACATTTTATAACCTTAATTCGATACCATTAAACATTTTATGGAGCTGCACATAATTAGGTTATTGCCTAATTAAAATACAACTTCGTAAAAGTTAATTTATTTTTATTTGCATTTTAACTTTATACCGTCTTTAACCTACTTTGAATTTGTAAATTTTGTTACGTAAGTCAATTATGCTTTTGTCTTTTATAACTTATTTTATACCTACGTATCTTATATTATTATTTTGTATCTTAAATTCAAAAGTCAAAAGTCAAAATCATTTATTTCAATTAGACCCTTAAATGCACTTTTTAACGTCAACCAAAGCTTAAAGATATGATGTATCAGGCTGTCGGTCAGTCGTCTTAGTGAAGCTATTTGCTCGTTCCAAAGTGTAGATTCCGATGGAGAAGAACGAGCAAGAAACTCCATGGTTACTCTTTTTAAATCACATTATTACACTACTATAAATACAAAATTGTGTGTGTCTTTCTGATATGTCGATTTTTTGCCTACACAAAGTATCGCAGAGAGCCTGAAGCGCAGTATTTTGCTTACATTATTATGTTTTACAACTTTTCATAAGACATCTCAAAATTGCATTAAAAAAAGTATACGGTAGTAACTTATTTAAATATCAACGTACATTTTAACTTCATTTTTCTAAGTAGGTACTCAGTTTAAATTGATCTTTAAAACACTTCTTAGAACCTACGCAGGCTAACTACAACTATTTAAGAATATAATTATATGCAAAAAAAAACTACAAAACTACTCAATACCACCAAAGTCCTTGAAAACAAAACAAATGTTTCCAAGTATCTTAATGTGCAAAACAAGTCATTGTTACAACAAGCAAATACAACCAATCAGTTTACAGACGGACAGACAGACAGACAGCAATTATTAGTAAACTTGAACCGGTCGGACAAAGAAACTGAAGTGAAATCTCCTTGATTGATGAACTTCTTTCTTTCTGTTAATCAACATGATCTTGACCAACTGACAGGTGATATTTAAGGTGCCTTAATCTGTCCAGCCAGGGTTGCTAGACAAGCAAACTACCGTATCCGCAGCCCTGAATCGGAGGAGGAGAAGGAACGGGGGGGTTTTTAGTCAGTAGGAGTCTGACACTCTCTCGCCCACCACCAAGGGTGGAAGAAGTCTTCGAATGATTTTCCTCCCACAAAAAAAAAGTATCTAAATTCATCTAATAAATCAAAGCTTTTTGTGTAATAGAAGCAGAGGTGTGTTTAGAATCTGCTCTTAAAATAATAAAAGATTCTAGATTTCATAAAAATCTCAATGAAGTGGCAGGAATCAGCATAGAGAGATAGAAGGAAAGCATTCAGCTGGTCTTATGAATTTTTTCTTTAATGGGACAAGCCCGCCGCAACCTCCCGAAGCCGCTGCAACTCCTTTAAGCCAGGATCTACAGTAGATACAACCATGAAAACACCGGAACACTGAAGTCCGGCGCGTCCCAGGGACATGAGTGACTGTCTTGGATCCTGTAACGAAATAAATCAGAAGATATTATTTGGGGAGATGAAAAAAAAATGGTCGTATGCAGTGTAACATATTCCAATTTAGGGAGAAAAGGATCATAGTGACGTTTTTCAATAGAAGCTATATGATATATGTTGTGATTATAACAAATCGTCCTTGACGAGAACGGAAGATCTTAGCATTCTACAATATTGTCTTAAACTAGGCAAGATAAACCAAAAACAAAATAGAGAACGATACGTAGTTAATAAATTAAGAAAGGCATGCATCCGTCTACCAATAAATTTTTCGTATCTTAATAATGATCTGATCTCTCCAGCGATCGATTACACGGCTCAGTTAATTGAATTAATTGATTTTTCAATCAAATGCAGGTCAGGTACGCATGTCAAAATGTATTTGAGTAATTAAATTGTCAATGTACTTTTAAATTGATGGTGCATAGCTGGGCTATGAAAAAAATTAGTCCGTCAATCAGTCTATTTTGGATCGTAATTGAGAAAGTGTTACATTTCTTCGTATGTAGAAAAACTTCATATTGAGGATAGTGAATGTTTTTTAATAAAGATCCATTTGTTTTTTTCTTACTGTAATTCATTAATCTGTCGATGTAGTAGGATTCCACTTGATTATTTAATTGATTGTCGTGGTAGCCCTGGGGTTAAGGCTACCGCCCCTCATGTATGTCCCAATGTGACTTTTTCTAACTTATAATGTACTTTCTAACTGTATTTAGACACCACTTACGCATGGTGAAGGAAAACATTGTGATGAAACCTGGACTTTAATTTCTAATAATAAGTTTAAAATTGCCAAACCACCTTGAGTAAGTGTGGTGATTGATGCTCAACCTTCTCCAAGTCAAAAATGGTGCAACGGTGCAGATATCAAATAATATTCGATCAATTAAATCATGACATCATCAGCCTATAAGTGCCCAATACTGAGCAAAGGCCTCTTCTCACACGGAGAAGGTTGGAGCATTTATCGCCACGCTTGCTCAAGGCAGATTGGCGATTTCAAATTGTCATTGTAACAGGTTTCCTCAAGATGTTTTCGTTCACTGTTTGTCAGTCTAAATAATCAAAGCAAGTACATGTAACTTGGAAAAAGTCAGATTGGTACTTGCTTGGTTTTGGACCTGCATCCTCATGCATGAAAAGCGGGCGCCTTAATCTCCTGGCTACCACAACGATATGATTAAAGACGAAAGATACGAATAACTCATTCCAATCTTGCTTCCAGGACAAGTAGCATCGCTCTGTAAGCCATTCGAGAGGCTCCTTGTGTGCGGCTGCCCGCGTACCTGCCGGGATCCGGCGCCGGACTGCAAGGCCGTCTGCCGGCCTGGCTGCTTCTGTGAAGAGGGACAGGTCCGAGACGATAATGGCAACTGCATTAAGTTGGCTGACTGTCCTCCTATATGTGAGTGGATACTGTTAGATTTGTTATTAGACTCATTAATAACTTTATGACAATTATCTCCATTGACTGCGTTGAGTTGATGCAAGTGCTGTTCTGTTTTGGCTCACAAGAAATTGGGAAAATAAATGAAAAGGACAAAAGTAAAATGGACAAAATGGTGCAAAAATAACATACGACTACGTTTCTTATTTTATAATCCATTTTGTAAACTTAACCATACAAAATCCATATAAACCAGGAACTGATTTAAAGAATGAATAAACAATTTTTCATTGATTTAAACCATTATTTACAGAGCTTCAATAATTAATTAAGTATTTCATCCATCATAGCTCCAAACTCTATTTAATATTGTCGATTTTCCCTCATTTGCCATTATTTTAATTATAATAACGAATGCACCATTAGCACATGCCAACATGAATAGTTATATTGGTATATTTGATCTAGTTTAATTTAATCTTTTACATACAGGCGACAATGACCCCTAGCATAGACTAATAATACACTACCCCTAGATATACCTTAAAAACGAATATACACATGTTATATATTAAAAAACTTCAAATTACGTGTATATTCGGTTCTTATGCCAAACCACCTTGAGCAAGCGTGGTGATTAATGCTCATACCTTCTCCGTGTGAAGAAAAGTCTTTGCTTTGCAGTCAATTACATACATTAGTTTTTTTATTTTAATTGGCTGACACGACATATGAAAATCCTAGATTTTCCTAGAAACAAAAATTTGTGGATCACACAAAGTTGTTCTATGCTTGAATCGAACCCGCGAAAAATTGCGTGGCAGCCAGTTGCCCAGCTACCGCGCAATGTACATCTATACTAATATTATAAAGTTGCAGAGTTTGTTTGTTTGTTTGAACGCGCTAATCTCTGGAACTACTGGTCCGATTTGAATGATTCTTTCAGTGTTGTGTAGTCCATTTATTGAGGAAGGCTATAGGCTATATTTTGTTCAATTCAAAATTAGGGATCCGTAATAAAATTGCTATTTTATAACACAAGGAGTAAAATCGAAAACCTATTTTTGCGTGCGCTGCAAAAACTATTGACAATAAAACAGAATGATGTACTACGACTTTGTAGATTCTAATAAAACCTACAAAAAAGTCCGCGAGAGCATATATCTAGCTATCATGGTTTAATCACAATAACCGATTTTGTGTTCAAAATAATTATTAAATCGTCTGAAGAAAAAAAAAGCGTTTAATATGTATCGTAATATTAATCTTTATCAAAATTAAGCATTATGTTATCAAGAGTATTTATTCAGAAGTAAAATACTTCTTATTTCCTCTCAATCGGATATTTCGTTTAAAAGTTATCACGTCTTTATGATGTTAAGAGTTGGTACCTTATTAATGAGTTATGGACCATAGAGTTTTCTATCAACATAAAATCCTGTAATAATCTTTTTCGAAATATATTTGTTGATAATTGTAAGTATAAGATTTTTTTTTAAGGAATAAGTCGACATACTAGCAGACGCATTACCCGATGGTAAGTAATCAGCGCCGCCCATGGACACCCGCAATGGAGGAGTTACGAGTGCGTTGCCGACCTTTTAGGGATTAGGGTTTTAGAGATTTAAGGATTGGGAGGGATCGGGGAAGGGGAACGATTGGACCTCCGGTAACCTCACTCACACGGCGAAACACAACGCTGTGGTTGTTTTACGTCGGTATTCTGTGAGGCCGTGGTATCACTCCGGTCGAGCCAACCCATTCGTGCTGAAGCTAGGCTCTCCCACACTTCTAAGATGTTGAAGAGTATATGAAATACATTTCTAAACTAACTCTTCTAAGGAAAAGTAAATCCAAGGAATAACACACACCTTAATTTGGATCCTTTAGAAATGTCGTTGGCCATACGATGTAAATGCATTAAATGAGTATATTACTGTAAATGAACCCACGTTATTTCATGACCTGGTGCAATAGTGTTACGCACCGTTTTCATTTCAATGACGGAAAAAATTTTGTTTGATGCTCCAGGCGGAACCGGCAATACTTTCATTACTAATTTGATATTAGCAAAAGTAAGGTGTCAGGGAATACTAGCTTTGGCAGTCGTGTCATCAGGAATCGCTGCTACTATATTAGCTGGCGGACGCACAGCTCATTCCACTTTTAAACTGCCCCTAACCATTCCGTTACAGAAAGATAGCGTGTGCTCTATTCGTAAAAATGGCCCTTTAGGCAAAGTTTTGTTAGACGTCATTTTAATAATCTGGGATGAATGTACCATGATTCATAGAGCTTATGTGGAGGCCCTAGATAGGGCTCTAAGAGATATTAGAGGCTGTAATAAAATCATGGGTTTTTATAAAATCATTGTCTGTCATGTTTGCTGTGGATTTTCGGCAAACTTTACCTATAGTAGTAAGAAGAACTAGGGTAGACATTGTAAAAAATTGCCTCAAAAGTTCTCTATTATGGAAATTTGTTCATACCTTAAAACTATCAACGAACATGAGAGCACATTGGGAGCAGGTAGTACAAATTTTCCTTTGAAGTTACTTTTAATTGGAGACGGAATAATACCTCATTTTGAAAATAAAATACCTATTGATCAAGATTTAGGAGAAAAAGTGACTAGCATTGAGAGTTTAATATCAAAAGTTTACCTAGATATCGTCGAAATAGAAAATAAAGATTATCAATGGAAGTGTTAAAGAGCAATATTGGCGATGAGAAACAGTAGTGTTGACGAAATTAACTATTTAATTTTAACTTAACTTCCAGGGGATATAATCATATGATCAAGAATATGCAGTCCATTATCTATAGGAATTTCTTAATTCTTTAAACCCGAGGGGCATCCCATCACATTCTCTCAAGTAAAAAATTGGTGCCCCAATTATTTTACTTAGAAATCTTAAGCCACCAAAATTTATGTAACGGGACTCGACTTCAGGTTGAATTTCTTCGCAATAACATGATCGTTTCAACAGCTCTGACTGGTCCAGCGTTTGGTCAAACAGTATTTACACCTCGGATCCTAATGATTCCAAATGATTTGCCTTTACATTTTAAAAGAGTCCCATTGCCAATAAAATTATCTTTTGCCGTAACAAATACATAAAGCACAGGGTCAAACATTTAAATACGTAATATTAGATTTACAGCAAGACTCGCGTTGTCAAGATCAGGTTGCGGAAACAATCAATCTATTCTTCTGCAACAAGAAAATAAAATGAAAAATATAATTTACTCAGAAGTACTTTCAAATAATATTTTAACCCGGTTTAAAGTGGACGGACACTCCCGCCTGTAGTCGTATTTCTTATTCTGGCTGAATGTCGAACAGATAAACAGCTATTGCTTACTTGACTTATACAATTTAACTAGATCTATATTTTTCTTAATATTATAAACCTGAAAAGTTTAGTTGTTTGTTATGAAGGCGGTTATCTGGAAATACTGATCTGATAATTATGAAAACTGTTTAAATATTCAATAGTCCATTTATTGAGGGAGGCAATATTTGATGTCGGTATTTCCGCGAAATGGAAAAAAACGCGGGTGAAACCGCGGGGCACAGCTAGTTATACATATACACGCAGACTTAACAATTTTTTACCCCATTTGCAGTATCAGCCTACAAGCAAGATACGACGGAACCCCGTCCAAACGGGGGCCAGTGTCCTGACAACGAGGAATACAGGTTTTGCGAACCCTGTCACAAGACCTGTGAGAACCCCAACCCTATCTGTCCTGCCCAGTGTGCAAGAGGGTGCTTCTGTAAAGATGGGCTCCTTAGAGACAAAGATGGCACTTGTGTACCAAAGGAAAAATGCTCAAATAGTAAGTAGAATATTTTTTACAACGAATCTTTTTTTTTATGGTGTAAGTCGGCAAACGAGCAGACGTATTACCTGATGGTAAGCAATCGGCGCCCGCCCATGGACACCCGTAATACCAAAGGAGTTACGAGTCCGTTGCCGGCCTTTTGGGGATAGGGGTTGCGGATATAAGGATTGGGAAGAGATGGGGGAAGGGGAGGGATTGGGCCTTCGGTAACCTCACTCACACGGCGAAATACAACGCTGTGGGTTTTTTCACGCCGGTATTCAGTGAGGCCGTGGTATCACGCCGGTCGAGCCGACCCATTCGTGCCGAAGCTTGGCTCTCAGAAACTTGCCATAATTATAGCACACGCTTCTTGCAGTTAGTTGTACATTGCTCATATTGTTAATATGTTTGTTCTTGCACGGACAGCGACGCGATCTGATGGTGTAATGTACGACAAAATCACGACGCGCCGTGTGTAAACGTGGCCTTATTATGGTGATCTAGTGAAAAAGTACAACTGTTTGGGATTATGGCTTGTAGTTGTTTGGAACTCTTTAATTTACATAAACTTGAATTTCTTGTTTGAATCTATGATGCTCTAGTTACCACTGGACATCAGTAACATGTCACGGCTACATATATGATCAACTAACACTCTCTTAACGGCTTTGCCCGTACTTTTCAGGTAACAAAAGCTCAAGTATATTTTTCTCTGCTATATCTATCTCTGTGCAAAATTTCCTCAAAACCATTTCAGTATTTTTGAATATGAATGAGTAACAAACATCTATCCATACTTACAATCTTTCGCGTTTATAAATATTAGCAGGATTCAGTGAATACGGTTTTTTTTTTTGTCAGGGAAAAATCAGCAAATGACTTCTCCCGCCCAGGGTAAGGCGAGAGTGTCAACTCTTACTGACTAAAAACCCCACCGTTCCTTCTCCTGCTCTAGGCCGAGGTCGCGGTGCCTCATTGCGCTTACCCCGCAACCCCGGCTGAACATCAAGCCTATAGGGCCCCATCTGTGGTGGTCTATTGGCTCTACTCTCGCCGTACGCTCGGGTCTGGTTCTGATCGGGCAGCGAGCTACCCTTACTCGCCGTCCGCAGACCCGCGCGTGCAGTGATTCTAGTTCAGGGATCCCGCTATAGGGAAATTAATTTCCTTTCCCACTCCTACCTGTAATCAGCCTGCTAACACCAGAGTTTATAAGAGAGAGATATATTTCAACAGCAAACTGCCTCTGATGACGATTTTGAAATAATTAATTTATTTTGATTGCAATCGGGTTGTGGCGAATATAATCCATGTTATCTCGAAGGTCTGTTTGCTTTAGCTAAGTGTATTTTGCAAAATATGTAAAATTGAGGCTGTCTCCTGCGTTATCTTCTGGTCTTGGCAGGACGATGTCAGGGACGTATCATGCATTGTGTTTGTCTTATTTAGCCTTAAAGTCTTAATAAAATGTCCAAAACTTGCTATTGTTTAAATATTAATGACATACTTTGATTACTATCTTAATACATGACTTACTCAGTTTGGTCAATAGTGTTGCAAGATGCATTTATTCTTTTTTGTATTATTTACTAGCTCTTACCCGCGGCGTCGCTCCCGTCATTTGACTACCTATCCTACTCTACATACCCTACTCTACCTACACTACTCTACTTACCCTACTCTACCTACCCTATTCTACCTAACATACTCTACCTACCCTACTCTACATACCCTACTCTACCTAACCTACTTTACCTACTCTATCCTATCCTATGTCTTTCTCCTGGCTCTAAACTACCTCCCTGCCAATTTTCAGCTAAATCGGTTCAGCCGTTCTTGAGTTATGTCATGTTATGCAATAATCTGTTAACCCACAAAAACCTGATTTTTAAGTTAACGCCATCTGGCTTCTGTAGCCAGTCTCTTGAACCCTTAAAAAAAATGCAGAGACATGTACTAAATTTATAAAAACGCCATCTACCATAAAAATGTTTTTGTAGTTCGCGGAACTAGTCTTCAACAATTTTGCAATAATCGATTACAAACCTGTCACGATACGCGCGCTTTTCTTCTGTGACAATCACTTTAAAAATTTGTTTTCCGTTAGTTTAGCGGCTTTGTGTAAATTTTAATATATTACAAGTATTTTGAAATATTCATGTAACTGGATTGTGTGAATTGAGTTATTTTACAAGAGTTTTTAATTATCTACTTGCTGCAACAAGGTGCAAGGTAAGTTGTTTTCAGTATTTGTTTTATAGTATACTACAACTAATAACGCGCTAATAAGTAGTCTTTCTCATCGCAAACAACCATGGTAATGGAATGAAATTAAATAATTTCCCGATAGTTACGAAAAAACTAACAATTTAAATTTGTATAATTTATAACTGGTTAATGCATAAATACTCGTAGCTTTAACGGTCACTTAGTGTATTTAACTTTTTTTTTGTTATTAAATAATTTAATCCAAAGATAACCTGATATTATTATGAGGGAAAGTTACAATAACATACAAGAATGTATTTATATACTCGTTGTAGGCAGATGATGGTAACTTATAGAAACATTAAAATATTTAATTTTTTAATAGGTTATTGCGAAATTGATATGAATAGTTTTAGATTTTTGCTATAACCATGCATCGTATAATAATACTCTTTTTATATTACGGAACTAAAGCCAATAATGAATTATTTGCAGGTATTCGTCATGAACTCTAGAGCACAGAAGCTTGTCGCAATGGCTCGTGACGAGCATTTCTGTAATAAAAACAACGACAAAGAAGAATCTGAAGGAGAAGAATCTTACAACAGTAGCGATTTAACAACTTTAGCTCAGTTAAAACAGGATTTACATCTTAAACGTCATAATACTGCTTCATATTCGTTAACTTACAAACATTTTGAGCGTGACTTAAGGCAAGTCTTAAGCAATAATGATTTACAAATAAGTAATATAGAAGAGTCTATAGATACTTCTCAGTTAATACATCTTGATGATTTAGATATCGTCCCTAACAGCCTGCCCCGTATGTTTAATGATTACGATGACAAAGAAAACGAAATTATCGCTGAAATAGAAGTAGTAGCATCAACTTCTAATACTGATAACGTTTTTCAAGATAGTGTAGATATGTCTGCACAACTGACTGAAAATAATAATAATCAAACAAACATTTTAAACGGCATCGAACAACTACAACCAAATCGTGAGTATGAGCATCAATTAGTAGGAAATAATATCGGTAGACCCAAGCGCGGAAGAAAAAGAAAAGTAGAAGACCAACCTAGAAAAGAGCGAAAACGAAGAGCCAACGTAAACGAAAAGTATATTAGTGCGAAAGGAAAAGAAGTATTACCAAAAGAATTCGACAACACATACCATTGTAATTGCAAAAAGAAATGCACAACGATCTTGTCAATTGATAGTCGAAAACAAGTATTTGACCAATTTTGGTCTCTTGGATCATTCGAAGGTCGATGTGCTTTCATTTGTGGTAAAGTAACACAAACTCATAAAGCTAGGACGTATACTTCGTCAAATTCGAAGAGAATATATTCACGAAAATATATGCTTTGTGATACCGAAATATGCAAGAAAGCGTTTTTGAAAACCTTAGGTATTTGTCAAAGTAGAATCGATGTAGCGATGCAGAAAAATAATAGATCATCTAATTTTAAAGACAACAGAGGAACAGCAAGTGGTGGCAAAAATAAAATCAATGCAGATGACATTAATCTAATAGTTAGCCATATTGATTCATTTCCCAAATATGTTAGCCATTATTGTAGAAGTAAGACTGATAGTCGTTATTTAAATACAGAACTCAACCTATTAAAAATGTATGAGTTATTCAAAACCAAATATCCGACAAATGAAAACCTACCAAGTCTTGCAACATATAAGAAAATATTTTATGAAAAATTTAACCTGAGATTTAAAGCCCCAAAAAGTGACACATGTAAAACTTGTGACACTTTTGCAGCTAGTATAAAATCATTAACAGGCACAGAAGCTGAAGAAGCTAAAAAACAACGAGATATATTAATAAAGCATCAGAGCTTAGAAACCAAATGAATGCAGACCTGAATTCGGCGTCAGAAAAAGATACTGTAGAAACTCTAACTTTTGATATGCAAAAAACCCATCCACTTCCAAAAATACCGACTAATATAGCTTATTACAAACGGCAGTTAAATTTGTATAATCTAGGGATTTATATAGGAAGTAGCAAACAATCAATTTTTAACTTATGGCTTGAAAATGAAGGTGGAAAAGGTACTCAAGAAGTTGGATCGTGCTTGCGAAAGTACATTTTGAATAACATACAATCCCCAGTAACTGATCTAATCTTATGGGCGGATTCTTGTGGAGGGCAAAATCGGAGTATTAAGTTAGTGCTCATGTTAATACATACCTTGCAAAATCACACATCTTTACAATCGATTACACTGCGGTTTCTTTTATCGGGACATAGCTTCCTACCAAATGATGCCAATTTTGGTGTTATAGAATCACAGTTGAAAACGCAACAAAGGCTTTACACTCTAGAAGATTATGCAGAAAGTATTCAGAAGTCAAAGAAGAAAAAGAAGTTTGAGGTTTCGAGAATGATACCCTCCGATATGCTCTCTGTCAGGCCACTAGAACAAGCTATAACCAACAGAAAAGCTGACAGTGCTAAAAACAAAGTTAATTGGTTGAAACTGCACGAGATTACTATAGAAAAATCATTTCCCTATATTTTGAAAGTCAAAACTGAAATTGATCAACAAGATGCTCAGATAGTAAATCTTGAGAAGGCAGGGAAAGGCCGTAAGCCTGTGCTAAAGAATATTAATTTGCCAGAATGCTGGCCAAACGGAAAGTCTTTGAGTGTAGAAAAATTAAAAGATCTAAAAGAATTAATGAAACTGATCCCGACAGACGCTAAACCATTTTATGATTTCCTAAAACATACTCCAGCTGTTTCTGTTGATGAAGATGTAGATGGATACCATGTTGAAGATCTTGAACAGCTCTCAGATGATGGAGAAGAAGATTGATCTTATATTTTTGATTATTTACCGATGTGATCTCTTAACTATCTCAATAATATTGATTTTTTTCAAATTAATGATTATTATGTTAGTGTGTTTGCTGCGTTTTTTTTGTAACCTTGTTCTGTTCCACTCTTGGAAAAGGGCCTCCCACATTTCTTAATTATTTTTATTAATTAACAATAATATGTCAAGGGCTTGCAAAACATTTTAGTACATAAAAATGTCCTGGTTAAATTTTGCAATAAACAATTGATCATTATTTCATTTATTTTTATTTTCCCTATAACTCTCACTCTATTATGCTGTGTTTGAATCACTACAACACATGATAACCTATTTAATAAGTTTTGAATACAATCCGAATAGCTTATGAGTATTTTATGTAGCTGTAAATTTCTATGAGCTAGGATTTCTCCGGTTTAGGTTTTATAGGGTTGACACGTTATTGCATAACATAGCTAAGTGGAGTAACAAACACGTCTTTCTTTTATATATACCTATAGGTAGATTGTAACTCCGTCTATGTTTTTCTCAATGGAACAACCACAAAAAAGGGTATATATAACTTTTGAATCGTCAATTGCTCTTTTATGTTATTAAAGTTGCTAAGTCAATTAGACTTTTCAATATACCTAATTAAACGTTAAAAAATAATCATGCATACTTTCATTACCTAATTGATTTCACTATACTTATACTTCGATTTCGATTTTTAAACATATTTTTAACTATTTTTAAGAAATCTATAATTTTTGTCATTTCAGTAAAAATACTGAATAAATATACCTAAGTAGTTGCCAACTATCGTATTGTTAACAGCTGTCTTTATTGAAAAATTTTAACGAATAAGCCTTAGTCAAAACAAATTCCTTCATGTTAAAATATTATTAAGAAGTGCCCTATTTAATATAGTTTAGCTTTAGTGGAAATAAGAGAGCTATTCCTGCCAGTAGTAAAAATATTGTAATTGTTCTTAAACAATTATGAAATACTTAGTTATTTTAAGTGACTAACTTAACAATTTCTTTTATTTGCAGACATCGAATACTAGCGCTTGATCTAATATCCTGCCGATCTCTTGCCGAAGACCTTCTTTCTTTATCCTGCATGCTGTGCCTACTTCTCTTCTCTTGAGCTTCCTACAAAGAAGAATCTACTTTTATCTTCTAGACTACACTTATGTTTCTGTAATTGTTATTTTACTGCTTTTTAATCACTTATACACAATTTGTATACCAAAGAAATGTGCTACTTAAAACTTCTTAACAACGAATGTTTTGTGCTACTTACCTTTATTTTTAGCGTTTATCAAGAAAGGAAAAACACATAGGTACTAGGTAATTAAAATTTAGTTCTTGTTAGTCTTAATTGCAATTTAAAAAAAAATGAAATTTAAATAGTAGTAAGCTTTATAGTTAGTACTATTAGTTGTTTAATGTAATTAGTATTTCTGTAATATAACAATGCTCCTAAAAATTTTTAGGCAGGTTTTTTTTTACTTTAATGAAACATTGAAACATTCAAAGCCCAGAATAACTTCTTTTACAACCAACGCGATCGGCGGCCTATCCTAAAATCCCTATCTGATAAAAGCTCTTTGCACAGAAATTACAGATCCAAAGCCAATACAATACCAGATGACCTGTAGCGAGCATCAAGTGTACAAGCGCTGTGAGACCTGCGCCAAGACCTGCAGCAACCCCAACCCCAAATGCCCGACCCCATGCGCCATGGGCTGCTTCTGTGAAGAAGGCTACGTTCAGTCCCCTAATGGCCAATGCGTCAAGTTAGAAAACTGCCCAAAAGGTAACTGGGATAAACTAAATGGAATATTTTCCACTTTCTGGCTGTAACTCTGTTGTAAAATAATAATTATGCTGTTCAGAAATAGACTTTTTTGTAAAATTCTCTGTAGATACCTCATTCTTCTATAAGGTCACATAGGCCCTGTTTATTATGCTCAACGGGTGTCAATTTCTGTGGAGGTACTCTTCTGATATGTCCGACTCATAGAATGTTATTGTGCCTTATCTCTTTATCTGCGTGTGTCATATTTTCTTCCTTTTTCTTCTACAAAAACTTAACTAAAAGACAAATTCAAAATCATTTATTTCAAATAGTTAGACCCTTACAGGAACTTTTGAGCGTCAAAAAAAGCCTAAAGATAAAAAGTATCACTCTGTCGGTCACGACAATAGTCAAGTTATTATGTCAATTAAAGCCGTTTTGCCATCTTCTGTTTACATATTATTATTTTTAGGTATAATCTCCATATGTTACTATTTATGATTACATCAAAGTAATTGTTGTTAGTAAAATATTGAAGTCTTGTTAAACTGTATAAATTTCTGAATTGTATCCTTTTTGTATTGAGATTCCCCAATTTTTTTCTGTCCAAAATTGATTTGTATATACATATACAAACGTATGTCATGTATATGTTTTATTACAATATTTTGTAATTAATTAGTCATATATTTTATTCTCAGTGCGTTTATTATTAATTTTTGGATTCATTTAGTATTGTTGTACCTACCAGAAAAATACTAATGTTCTTAAATATATTATGGATCTTGAGTCTTGATCACGGTCTTGATACTATATAGTTTATCTGTGTTCTTTTTTCAATTATAAAAATCACTTGGCTTAAAGGACTTGTATCCAGGCCATAAACTCCAATAAAAAAAATACATAAAAATCACTTTTTTTCTGTGAATCTGTGTTACCATATTTCAATTATTTATTTGTTTTTATTTGAAGCTTTATCAAAAGTATACATAAGTAAAGTTTTATTTAGATACAATTAAAACTCTATGTATAAAATCTTTGGCTGTTTCGTAACTAAGAAGATATTTATTTATTTTAGTATTGTAAGATATTTATTAAGATATAATTAAATAAAGTGTTAACCAATGTATTTTCTTGTTTCTTCTTTATTTTACTGTAAAATTACTTGCTCAATTTAATAACGCATATTTCGTTCTTTTTTCAAATTTAAACTAAGTATGTATCCATTCTATTTCTTCATTGGGTTCATATATTTAACCTATACTTAAAACAGTTAGTATGTACCTACATAGATGCCTAATATAACTTGAAATCATTTATTTATTACTTATACACATAACACATACCATTAATAGGAAAACAAATGCAGTAACACTGGTACTTACATACTGCATATTCCTATATACTTATATTTTTTTTTATGTAATAGGTCGGCAAACGAGCAGACGGATTACCTGATGGTAAGCAATCAGCGCCGCCCATGGACACTCGCAACGGAGGAGTTACGAGTACGTTGCCGACCTTTTAGGGATTAGGGATTTGGAGATTGAGGAGGGATTGGGGGCGGGGAAGGATTGGGCCTCCGGTAACCTCACTCACACGGCGAAACACAACGCTGTGATTGTTTCACGCCGGTTTTCTGTGAGGCCGTGGTATCACTCCGGTCGAGCCGACCCATTCGTGCCGAAGCATGGCTCTCCCACTCTTAAAATGCCATTATATGGAATCTCTTCCTGCAGTTATTCGAAAGGAAAAATGTTAATGTAATCATATTTATGTTAAAGACATTTAGCCGGGTTGTCATAAAAACTTTCATGGCAAAAACCTGGAAACTACTGAACCGATTTTAATACGTTAATCTTGTTACTCATACCTACGTAATGATAATACATACGAAAAAGAGATTAGAGAGAAAAGAAGAAACAATTTTAAAGACAAAGTCAAAATATGAACCATATAGGGCACCCGCTGCACAAGATCCTGAAGAAACTTGACAAGTTTGATATTTCTAAAGTCATATCTACTATACTTATAAGTATTTAGTCACCATTGACAAACGGTGAAGGAAAATATCGTCAGAAAACATGGACCATCACCAATCATCCTTGAGCAAGCGTGGTGATTAATGCTCAAACTTTCTCCGTGTGAGAAAAGGCTCAGGAGTGGGCAATTATAGGCTGATGATGGAATATGATTTAATGTGACGTCTTGTACAACTAAACAGCCAGAACACTACATACTGCTAATAATAAAAAGTATAAAAACTAAAACCCAACTACTACAAAAACCGACGCTGAAAAAGTATAAAACAAGATTTTCAGAATACTGAAAGGTGTAGTCACACGTTATCAATGTGCAGGTATAGTAAGTAAATGTAACGTGTGACTACGCCTTTCAGTATTCTGAAAATCTTGTTTTTTACTTGCCAAAATCATAGCCATGACCCTGTGTGATTTGTTTTGCCGTAGTTGGATAATAAAAAAAATTGATTTGACGTAACTTGACTTAAGTACAAGTGATCGTGGCTCTGGTACGAAACCTTTCTCCGTGTGAGAAGAGGCCTTTGCTAAGCAGTGGTTGCTTATAGCCTGATGATAATGATTTGATAACAAGTTGTATAATATATAACCACTGTTACTTAAAGTATCCATAACTACAGTACATACAGACTTACACACGACATTTCATAATAGATATCGTTTTACATCACTAATTGCACGCCAATATCGGTATCTTACTTAACCAAAACCAGTTGGTTAATGAAAACATAAGAGAACGTTATCCATAATAATATAACAACGGTTTACACCAGTCATGTTTTTGAGCCGATTACTACCATTTAAGTGTGAATTGTGAATTGGTCTGCTCGAGTAGAGGGCCTCACTGAAAACCGGCGTGGAACAACCATAGCGTTGTGTTTCGCCATGTTGGGACCCAATCCTTCCCGTTTTCTGGTCCCCAAAACTCCAAAACCCTACTCCCCAAAAGGTCGGTAACGCTATCGTAACTCTTTCGTTGTTGCCATGAGCCGCGCTGATTTTTTTTCTTTTTTTTACCCCCCACATTAGGATTTTCTCCTGTGTCGTGGGTGCGTTTACAAACATACAATATCACATACACATAACACCCAGACCCGGAACAACAATCTGTGGATCACACAAAGAGTTGTTCCGTGCGGGAATCGAACCCGCGACACGTTGCGCGGCAGCCAGTTGCCCAGCCACCGCGCCAACCGTGCAGCTGATTGATTGGCATTAGGTGATCCATCTGCTCGTTTGTCATCCTATCAAATAATCTCAATAATCTTCTGATGCTTAAGTAGCGAGCACCTTAACCTCAAAAAATAAAGACTGAGAATTATGATTTTTGTTAGGTATATGCTGTGCTCTACCTAGAAATAATCCTAAAGGCTCGCAGTCAGTAGATAGTAGTGATTTCACCCACTTAATTAAAAGTGTATCTTTGAAATCAGCTGTGTGAATCTTAACTAAATTTGGGTACCTTCTTATTAATGTTTTTATCTGGCTTAAGACTAAAAGAAAATTTGCAATGGCAATGTTCTCAAAGACATTGTCCTACACTTATCTTAATACCACTTTAACGTTATTTCATTATTTAGAAGTATCTACGATTTTTGGCCTTAGCTGCATATTAATTCAGAGCTGAGGGCCTATAATGACGTACTGGGCGAGAAAGAGGGATGGAGCTATACACCTTTTATAGCTCCATTCCTCTTTCTCGCCCGGAAGATTGACGCCTTAACACGTCATGGTAGGCCTACAGATTTCGTTTTATGGGATAGGATGACACAGTTTATTAAAGTAACGGATCACCTGATAGTAAGCGATTGGTGCCGCCCACGAATACCCGTAGCACAAGAAGCCTTTGCGTTGCCTTAAAAGAGAGGAGTAGCTTTATTAGGCTTTTGGCGGTTGTAAGAAGTTCGAAGATTTGGGTCTTGGAGTTTGCAGGGAGGGAGGAGGACCGTACCTCAAGCAGCGGCAATCTTATGGAAACTGCAATGTTTGCATATATTATCGAGGCAAGGAGAACGAGCCCAATTGCTGTAAGGGGGGTAAAATAGAGGAAAATCTTAATTATTTCTTTTTCCAGCTGAAGAAATGGTGGGTGCAATAGTCCATGTTTATCAGGAGCCTTCGATCGAAGACTGCGCCCCTGATGAGGAGTACTTCTCATGCGGATGGTGTGAGCCAAGCTGCTCCAATCCATCACCTTCTTGTCCCATCAAAGTGTGCACTCGAGGGTGTCTCTGTCGACCCCATTTGCTGAGGCATCACAGTGGACACTGCGTCGAGGCGAAGGATTGCTATCCACGTAAGAATTTTTGTTTTTTATGAAACAATTAATAAGCTAAGTTATAGGTATAAGAAAGACAGACAAAGATCTGGATCTCACACTTAGGTTCCTTGTGTAGTGAAAAACAGGCTTCTTTCTGGCTGTGGGCATTATTTAGCACTACATAGTATAAAACTATATAATAATATTAGAGGTATATGTTTGAGTTTTTGTGAAAGTCTGAATGATTAGTTCCTATTTGTTTTTGTTTGTTTTAAGTTCATCTTTTTATATTTCGTTTTTTCTTTTCCTTTATTATATCTGTGTTAATGTAACTGGATCAAATCCGTGTTAACATAAATAAATAAATAAAAATAAAGTCGCTTTCTCTGTCCTTATATCCAAATGTTTAAATCTTAAAAACTAAGCAAAGGATTTTGATGCTGTTTGAGTGATCGAAGGAAAAGTTTATGGACATGGACACATGTATTACATGCATTAAATAGTTAAGAAATTTAGTATCAGCAGTCCGAAGCCGGGGCAGTTCGCTAATTTTACTATCAAACATAATTTTTCACCAGCTGAAATCCATATATTGTGTTATAAATCCCGCAAGGATAATAAGTTGGTAGGAAGCCAGTCTATTACTAAATATCTAAGTTTTACCTTATCAAATAATAATTTACAAATCCAATTCCGATTATATTACCACTAATAACTATAATAATTCCCACACGGCGACCCTCGTAAACGGCAGGCTGAATACCAAGATTCCTTTATCATCAAATAATGTCAATGCTACCAAAAACCCATATATAATCTGTGCTGTCATTCCCCATGGCGACCATAGATCTGAACGTGTGTTTCAATGTGGGCCTAACTATTTATGTGACAACTGTGAACTTGGCTTTATTCCTTGCAAATCCATATATCATGCCCATATGATCTTGAGTCTATGATCTTGAACTTAGGTTTTGTTTATTAACTGTGCATTAAAGAGTAGGTAGATATTTAATCTGGTCCTGGTCTTGTTTAGAAGAAAAAAATATTGCTATCTTTTAAAAAATATCGTAGTGCAGTACGAATAACAGTTTGATAGCTTAATTAATGATTTATTTAGATAATAACAAGTGGCCTGCCCCTGCTACGGGTGTAAAACTACCTCGCTAAAAGATGGAATATTCCCAATAAAAAATAATTATCATAATTTGTCCAGGCGTTCTTCAGTTATGCGCTTACCAACACGTTTTGTGAATTATTTTTAAGTCTACAAATTAATATATTAGCCGGGCTTGCGGGTGCAAGCGAAATAATCTGCCGCGGCCGTAGGAGCGGCCGGCGGAGTAGAAATGGGGTGAATTTTAGTCAGTAAGAGCCTTACCTTCATCAACTTGCGGCCCACCGAGGGCGAGAGAAGAAATATAATAAGTACTTATCACTCGTCAAAAAAAAAACATATCAACTATCTAAAAAGAAAGAAGAAACCTTCTTAGAAATGATTAATGTTAGCGTTCTTATTCTCTAGGACAACTCCAATCTGCAAGACAAGCTTATACCAATATCAACTGTTGACTAATTTAACCACCAAAACCCAAAGCCTTATTTCTAAAACCAGTCCAAATAATACAGTTTAATTTTTTCCTGAAAAGGAGACAATCAAGCGATCCAACATGAGAACCGATGATTTGATCTCCCACATTTTATGCCTCAATTGTTTTAGGAATAAAAGTGTGTTCCGAACGATCAGCTCACAAAACTCTCAATAAATGGCTTGAAAGGCAAACCTTGTACGGTGACTGTCGTAAATTTCGTGCAGATTTCTTATTCTCATTGAAGAAGCAAAATATCCAAATGATCTTTTTTTCACATAAATTGATTCCTAACGCTGTCTCAGTGTATATAGTATTTAGTCTTTCATAACAAACTAACGTTGTCCAATTAACTGCAGTTATACAAGACGAACACAATTAAAAAAAAATGTAAGATAGTTTAAATTGATTCAGTTTTCGAATACGGATGGATTGTGATAATATGTACTTATAGGTAGGTAGTAAGTACGTTAAACCGTGTGAATATTAACATTTGACTTGAATTAAGACCTACCTACGCAATTGTGGCAGTAAGCAGGTTACCTACATTTGTTGAAGAACCGATGACCATTGGGGTAGACGATTTGGAGTGCAGAACGCGTCTAGGCAAACGTAGTGTAGGGCGCCCTCCCTGACGATGTCCATAAGGTGACTGGCAGTAGCGAACAAAATCAGACTATTGATGATGAGACGCAATTTTTTAATGCTTTTTGTTTTTTAATCTTCCTAAAAGTTCGACAGATACACTCTTCAAAACATTTCAGTGTAACAAAGAATTTTTGAGCGAAGAAAAAAATTTGTGACACGTAAAAAGCCTTTTTAAAAGTACGACCCGAAAACGGGACATGCATTAAGGCGACAAGATCTTGTATTTTGTAAACTGTTGAATGTAAAAGTAAGATGCTTGCTTCGTGAATGCTTCGTCGGCGTTCAAATTAAAACACGTTCCCTTTTTTTCCCTATTTTTTCCTTCACTGAGAGTGGGTCAACAGGGAGTTGATTACAAAGAGAAAAACTTATATGACGACGTCTTGTCTGCTTGTCTGAAGGGCTAGGTTTATAGTCATGCTTCCGAATTGTACTAATCTATAGATATGTAGGTACGTAGAAATTGGTCTTAAATTATTCGTTAAACTCCAGAAAAGGTTCGTACGTAGAGAAAATTTAAAATAATCTTGAAAAAGTGTATAATCGACATCCACGCGGGTGGAGCCGCGGGCGACCACTAGTAATATTACGTATTTGAGTACCCTTTTTATTAGTGACCAGCTACTCTCACGCGGTTTCACTCGCTGCTCGGCTACATTTAATCGTAGCGTGATATATTATAGCCTATAGCACTCGGAAACATTGTAGCTATCAATAAGTGAAAGAATCTTGGGAGATCCGACCAGTGGTTCCAAAGATTACCCCTGCATACTATGATGATATGATGGAATCTAGAATTGTCTCTGGTATACATATAACGTCAATGAGTATAGGCTCATGACCCAATAATATCCAGGTACTTAATGTTTTTAGTTAGTTAAACGCATCCTTAGAGAAAATGAGCGATATCATACAAGGATTTTCTGTTTTATTATTTATTTATTTTTGTATCACCCACCCACTACACACTACTACTACAACAAAATAAATATTTACCTCATTATTTCATGTTTCAGAGAAATGCAAATCCCAAAACGAGGAATATGTCTGCCGCTACGGCTGTGAGCTCCGATGTCAAGCCCGCGTCTGCAAACGACCAAGAACATGTGTGCTGGGCTGTCACTGCAAGATAGGGCTCCTTAGAGACACCGCCACGGGACTCTGTGTCCCAAGGAACAAATGTTCTAACAGTATTCAAAGAACCAATATGACTATTGATTATAAAAAATAATGTAGCTTCGTAATTTTATTAGCGATTTTTTCATATTCAAGGCCGGGCTAGGGTGGTGTGATTTCCATTGAAAATGGCACCATTTTTATTCCACTTAGGTACTTCATAAAAATGTTATTTTTTTTAACTAAAAAGGACTTTCCTCGCCTAATTTCCCTGTAATTTATTACAAAATATTTTTCTGAACGGAGAGATTATTACATAGATGTGTGCAAGTACCTAATATTATTCGGGTCATTTAAAAAACTATTGAATAGGCAGTATCGCCCAAGTCTAGCTTATCAATGCTTATGAGTGAACCTAGCCACATTTGTCATAATTTTAATAATATTTCAATATATTCGTCGTTTTTCATTTGTTTCAATTGATTGTTTTCCTAGCCAATACCCGTGCCCATTGATCATTGTTTAAAACAAATAGGTATCCCGTTCCGGTGTATTGTTTTATCATTAGGTATTATTTATTATTTTATGTTCATTTAAGTAGTATCTAAGCTTGAAGCACTGTAGTTAAGAGTACCTAAGTACTGAGGTTATTTTTTGTACTTAGAATTTAGTCAAAAGGAAATTATTTCAATTTTATACATATAAACATATTGAAATAAGTAGGTACTTAGAAATAATCACATTCCATTAGTTGATTTGATGTTTTAACAAGTTTGTGTATTCTTAATAATTTTAAAAGAAATAAAATACTCTATTCGACGAAATATTAACTGAAAGGCTTGTGAACGCTAAAATTAACTAATCTCCTGTTAAATCTCTTGTCAAGTCATCTGATTGGTTGTTAATAATTCAGTCAACCAATCAGATGACTAGACAAGAGATTAAATTGATCGGCCTTTCGGAAACCGGGGGTTAGTCTAGTAAGTATCTAGTCTAAAAAAGTTGTGACGTCACAACTATCTGTTATATTATACAAAATCATTACATATTATACAAAACTGTTTTGCAAACAGTTGCCAGTCAGGAAACAAGTGTGTGTGTGTGTATGTAAATTTTTTTGCTGTGTATTTGTGGGCTACTACTTACCTACATGTATTTAAACTCTTTATGCTGTGCCCTACCGGGTCCATATTGTTTCTAATATATTGTGTCAACTTTATAAAACGTGATGTTTTATAAAGTTGACATTGACATTACATATGGAATGCAAATAAAGAATTGAATTGAATTGAATTGATAGAATAGACGACATGTAGGTAAGTACCTAGTAGCCTGGTAGTAGACATAGGTATAGGAATTTTTAAGTTGAGAAGTCCTAGATCTAATTAGAACACAAACCAATGCATTGTTATATTTAAAATAACTTCAATTTTGAGTTTAGATTGTCTAGTGACAATAAACAAAAGTAAGTAATAAAATTGTAACGCAGTTTTATTTCTTTCTTCTTATTGTAGAGAATGCGGCGCAGTTCATAATGAAGCAACATCCATTTAAAAGATTTCAAAATAAAAATGAAAAATATCCGATACAAAATATAAAATATATATTCAAAAGGCATGAAATATAATAGGCAAAAGCCAAAACCAAAATTAATTTAAATTTGCAAAAAGTTCTCTCCGGCGGGGAATCGAACCCCGGTCTCCCGCGTGACAGGCGGGGATACTGACCACTATACTACCGAAGATTGTGATTGACGGTTCAAAATAGGTAAGTATAATATGCAATACTGTTTAAATTCGTTTAGAAATTTGAATGTACCAAGTTGGATTTTTTTACTATGTAATTGATGCATCACAAATTACGAAATAGGTACCTAATTAAAGTAATGTAACTAACTAGAACTGTGCTATTTAGTTTGTGATGATGTGTACAGCTGGCTTTGTCGTGCACTTTTGAACTTATGAAGTCTTTTGTTGTTTGTTTCTCGACGAACAGATGCGTGTCATTGCATAGTTGTTTATAATATAAGTAGCTTGGGTTTCAGAAATGAAAATTACTACAACAAGAAATAAAAATGAGTGAAAAACTAAAAGAATTACGTGAAAGATCACAAAAACGTAAGAAATTGCTGGCACAAACTGTAAGTCGAGGTTTCTGCTGTGACATAACCTAAAATTGTACCAAGATTTACAAAATATTTCTAGCAAGCATTTTTGCTGTTTTAGCTTGGTGTGTCAAGTGTGAGTGAGTTGAGGCAGGCTTTAGGAGCTACCTTAGATGTTCCGGCAAAGAAACAAGCGGTTGCTGGTGCTGGAAATGAAGGTGACAAACCGACAGCCAAAGACCAACCTGATGAACTGGTGTACACAGATTCATCCACTTTCTTGAAGGTTCGTTTCTTATCCATTATACTGATATTATATTGGGAGCTGTAGAGGAGCTGGTTAGCTCTACTCCCTGACATTCAAAGCCTGTTTCACAATGTCTGAATTTTCAAGAAAAATTTGAATATGTAGGTATACAATGTAATGTGCCACATATATTTGTTGGGGACTGGGACAGGTTGTGAAGTAGGCTTTTAGTGTTGATTTGAAAACTAAATTATGAAGTTTAAATATCAAATATTATTAAAAAACAAAAAATCTCCTAATGTTAGAAGAAGTGTTATAATGAGCATGATATAAGATCAAAGTCTTCAATAGATATTAGAATCTTAACCAAATATTTGCATCCTTTAACCTAGAAGACCCTTATCATACTGTACTACTACTGTATATGGATCTTCCATAGGTTCATAAAGCTTCATGAGTTAAGAATAATATAATTTCTAATTAAGAAATCAATATACTTTATTAAAATAATAACTACATAAATAAATCTATTTTTCTATTCTAATATTATAAAAGGTAAAATTTGTAAGTTTGTATGTAGGGGGTAATCTTTGAAACCAATGGTCGGATTGCCAAAATTCTTTCACTGATAGATAGCTACAATGTTTCTGAGTGCTAAAGGCTATGAAACATCATGCTACGATCAAATGGAGCTGAGCAGCGGGTAAAACCGCGCGAAAGTAGCTAGTACTTTTATAATCTGTCTTCTGTGGCTTCAATACTTGACTATATTTGCTCAGCTTATCAGTTTCTAATGACAAATCTCATTATTGGTATCATCATTTCACTTTTTAGTTCTTTTTTTATTATTAAAATGTTGTCCCAAAGTTGAATTGTCTCTTACAAATCAGACCCAGGGACAAAAATTTTCTTTTTAGAAGTTTAAACTCGGTAACATACCAATCACAATATTTTAAAACTAACTCTCAGATCTGGAATGACACACAAAAGTTCCATTCTATGGGAAAATTGGATCAGTGACATGTTGACATGTTGCATATCCTCTGCTTTCACCTTATTTCATACCAAATTAATATAATAATTAATCTCCAGGGCACACAATCATCAAACCCCCACAATGACTACTGCCAGCACTTCGTAGACACCGGCCAGAGACCACAGAACTTCATCAGAGATGTGGGGCTTGCGGACCGGTTTGAAGAGTACCCTAAACTCCGGGAACTAATCAAGTTGAAGGATGACCTGATAGCACAGACTGCCACTCCTCCTATGTATTTGAAGTGTGACTTAAAGGTGATTCAATGCACATACATTTATATTCATAGTCAACTGACTTCAAAAAAAGGAGGAGGTTCTCAATTCTAGTAAATTCTCAATTAAAGTATTATTTTTATTTAATTTTTCTTTTTACTTAAAATCTTATCTACAAATAATAGATGAATAATGTTTGCCTACTATTAAGAGGTAAGCCTGGCTATCTGGCATACTGGTATTGTTATACACTGCACATGACTAAAACTTTCAAGTCGAAAACTCAACAATAGTGAATAATATTAAAATGTCACCTAAGAAACCTTATTCAGTAGAAGCACTCTAGAAACCCAATATATTTTAAATTTATAAAATTAATTAAATTGACACTAATTTATCTTATTACTGTTTCCAGACATTTGACCTAAAGCAGATGGGTAACAAATTCGATGTGATCTTAGTGGAACCCCCCCTTGGCTCAGGCTGGCGTTGGCAGGATGTCCTGGCTCTGGACTTACAGCAGATTGCTCAAGCGCGCTCCTTTATATTCCTCTGGTGTGGAAGCTCGGAAGGTAATGGAATATTACCCATCTTTATAAATAAAACTGGTTTTGTTTTGCTGCATGTCGTCACTATCGTCACTTCTTTTATTCTCATAGAAGTATGAAAAAAGCTAATTTTTCAACTTGTGAAATACAAATCAAGTAGGTTATAAATAATAAGCCTATTTTTGCGTGATTATGTTCATTTTTTACACAAAGGAATAAAGAATTACCTCACAATTTACTTATCAGTTAGCTAGTTTATAAAAAAATCTAAAAAATAACTTTTCCCTCTTAATAGGCCTAGACATGGGAAGAGAATGCCTCAAGAAATGGGGCTTCCGCCGCTGTGAGGATATTTGTTGGATAAAAACCAACATCAAGAACCCTGGACATTCCAAGAACCTTGAGCACAATGCTGTATTTCAGAGGACAAAGGAGCATTGTCTGATGGGAATTAAGGGCACAGTCCGGAGGTCTGTGGATGGTGACTTCATACATGCCAATGTCGACATAGATCTGATCATATCTGAGGATCCGGAGTTTGGAAGCAGTGAGAAGCCTATCGAGATATTCCATATTATGGAGCACTTTTGTTTAGGAAGGAGAAGGTAAATTAATTAAAGTAATAATTATGAATGTCTTTTCGTGCTTAACGTAAAATCTTTAGTCACATTTATATATATTCTCACTAGCTACTTTAGCGCGGTTTCACCCGCTGCTCAGCTCCATTTGACTGTAGCATGATTTTTCATAGCCCATAGCACTCAGGAACATTGTAGCTATCTATCAGTGAAATAATTTTGGCAATCCGACCAGCGATTCTGAAGATTACTCCCTACATACAAACTTACAAATTTTACCTCTTTGTAATATTAGTATAGATTGTACACTAAACTTGTTAACTGGAAACAAATGATTGAAATGATTTTTGACTGATTGTCATCATTATGAATCTTACTTACTACTTGACACAAGCACCTGTCTTCACTTGTGTCAAGTAGACAATTCTATTATCTGTTAATTAATGAAACAGTGAATAATTATGCTTTTGTCCAACTTTCAGAATCCATCTATTCGGGCGCGACTCCACAATCAGACCGGGCTGGGTCACTATAGGCCATGAGCTGACTAACTCTAACTTCAACGCGGAACTCTACGCTTCTTACTTTACGGAGGGCCGGGAGAGCACTGGTTGCACGGAGAGGATTGAAGCACTCCGCCCTAAGAGCCCTCCCAACACTAGTAAGGGGGCGCGGCCTAGAGGACGAGGGGGATTTAGGGGGAGAGGTAGAGGAAGGGGGGCGCTATAGTGCTCGCTTGGCAGGGGGTAAAAGTGGTAGTATCATTTTGAAGCAAGCCGGAAATGTCTTGATGATGGTCAGTCATCAGATGAAGGTCAAGGGTGATGGGACTTGGCAAAAGAATGTTTGGATCCTTTTTGTGCGATCTGCTCATGCAGCTGAAATAATCGCAGCGTGAGAAAAGATTTGTTGCTCTTTCTAAAGAAGAAAGGATTTCGAAGGATGTGTTAATGTACTACATTTTTATCTTCAAAAGAAATAGAATTATTTTATTTTTATACTAGATTATGAATAAGAGTTGTATAGTGATGAATTTGTATCGAAACAAAATTGTTGGTTTGTCAATATCATGAACATTACTTGTATCAACATATCAAGATATTTGTTGTTCTAGAATTGAGAACCCTGACTGGTTTTTACTTTGGTAAAGGATGCCGGAATTTTATATAGCTCAGAACTATATTATGTCTTCATATGAAAAAGAATGCAATGATCTAATCTTTATTGAAAAAACAGCGTAACTCCACAGTATACTTTTTTTGGTTAGGAAAATAAAGAGACACTTTTGTAACGTATCTATCTAACCGACTGTGAAGGTAAAACATTGAAGGAGTTCTTAAAAAAAAATCTAAAATTATTTTAATTTCATCTGTAACATATTTATTTGCCGGGTCACAGTGGACATGCAAGCTTACAATATTTCGCATAGAGCTTCAAAATTGGTGTGCATTCATTTTGAAGTATAATAATAATAAACCAATCAGTGTGATTGCAATCAATTTAACATCTGAAAAAACCTATCTACCAATTTTCTGCTCTATGCGAATATTTGGTACCTTACAGCTCTTTTGATAGGTCCATGAATATGTGGCGGACAAGTAAAACTAAAACAATGAATTCGAGTTTTACTGGGAAGCAATAATTTATTTCGCCATGCGCCACAATCAAATTACTATTTCAGAGCCTGTTTCACTGTACCTCAATAATTGCTATGTAGCAAATAAATTAGAATGAAAAATGTAAATGTATACACTAAGTGCTACATAAGTTTATCGGGAACTTATAGAGTTGTGAAACAGGTGCTAAATTACTCAAACTTTTTAAGATTTATTAAGATTTTCATTGCTTCCAAGTTAAAAAGTTTTCTGTAAAAAGGTTTGTTGCGAATGTATTTCGATTTTGTACCAAGTCCAGCAGGGTGTTTGACTAATAAAATTATAATGTACTACGTATTTAGTTTATAAGAATTACAATGAGTATTTTGTGTATTGTGAATTAATAAACATGTTTTTGATGAAAACTTGTCTTCTCAATTATTATTTTCACCTGGACAGTTTCTGTTATTAAGCTGAGAATCGAACTCAACTTATCCGACAACGTAAAACAAATATAATATTTATTGAATTATGTATTCTGAAACACTGCCACCTTTTTTTGGATGGGGATATCCATACCATGACTTCTCCCACCCTTTTTTTTTGGTGTCGGGTTGGAAAATCCTCATGGAGACCCATCGCCCTCGGGGAAGGGCGAAGGGTACTGTCAGACGCTTACTGACTAAAAACCAACCCGGTGTTCCTCCACTTACCCATGTGTCGGAGGGGCGGGTATCGCCGAAGCATTCGTCGCAACCCCCCGACGGGTATTGGCCCGCCAGATGGTAAGGCGGGCCCCGTCACCCACTGCGGCCGTCACCCCGACCGCAGGACTCCACTATGAGGCGCGCGCGGAACACGGCACCGCCGCCTCGAGGCCTGCTGCTGGTCAGAAGACAAGACGCCCCGAGTCTGTCGTCCACAGGCCGCGCCCTACAGTAGCCGCAGGTCGGCCACCCTACAACGTCTAGTGCGTCTGCTCCGGGAAGGGAGAGAGGAGGCCTCTCTCTCCCTTTCCACCGCCTCCTTTGAGAGCATCACGGCCTCGCAAAAGGTAGCGACGGCACTCTACCCTGACTCGCTCCCGACCATAGTAGACACTACAGCCGGGAGCGAGAGATTTCTCGCAGCACCTACGGCCGCGACCAGGTCACGGCGCTGCTCGGCCCAATCTGGGCACTCCAATAAGGTATGCAGCGCCGTATCGTCGCGGCAATCACCACAACGGTGTCACTGAGATGATTTCTCCCACCCTAGTACGAGAAGGGGGTGTCAATGTCTTACTTACCAAACCCGTTCCTTCACCTGTTCAAGAGTCGTGGCGGCGGTGCATTAATGCGCTTGTACTGGCAACCCCGACAACACTTACCACACGAGTCCAATTTAGGTGTTGACCGATACTTACTATGAAACTCAAGTTTTCATATGGATAAAAATAAAACAACAAAATTTATATACATCCATAAGTTTTATTTTACATTGATTGTCTTTAAATCAACTAATCTGCTTCTCAAAATAATTATAAAAAGACAAAACAAAAAAAATAAGGTGATGAGATCTTTTTACTAAGATAAGAAATAATTTACAGTGTATTACTTTACTGTGAAACTAAGAATTTCTTAAGATTTATAAAAAAATTATATTCCTTTAGTTTCATTATTTGCGGAGAGGGCTTTACCAGTGACTGTTATGGAACGATCGCAAAAGCCCCCTGTGCTCGCTACGACTTGTCGCATTTGCAATTAATGGATCGACGTATCGGTCACAGTATATTACAATTGATTAACATTATACAAGAAATACTAGACATTTATTCGTGACAGTCGTCTTCGTAACTTTCCAAGGACATGTCGCTACTAGCTTTCTTACTGTCATTCGTTTTGCGGCTAACATAACGCACGAAAATGTTATGTAAATGACTGTCTTAAACATTTTGTAACATTGTGTTTAACAAATTTATTAATATCTATGATATTGCCATAAATATAGGTACAGATTGTTTGTGTGTAATTGCGTTTAGTCGCAAAACGAACGCTGGTCAATCAACGAACCAATAAAGCCCTTTTCGCTTGTGTATCCAATTGACAGTCATCTTTACTGAGCCTATCGAACATTGTCAAAGTCTTATTATATTAGATAATTCATTATTCTTTTTATATGTTACCATATTCATTATACAAACAAGGCATTATTCTTTCATACTTGTTGCGGACGTAGGCGCGTTTGAAATTATGTTTAATTATTTGTATAGTTGATAGTTCTGTATTACTGCCTGTGACAACGCTAGTCAATAAGAGAGAGATAGAAACGAAAAAGGTTTCACGGAGAGTTAGGACATTAAAATAAAAACAAAAAAAATCTTCATAGGTAAGTTTGCACATTCAGGTATATTTAGAAAAGTATTAAATACAAGAAAAAGTACTATTGCTTATCTCAAGATCCAATGATTCAAGCAAACCCTACGATTTGGGACTGGAAGCAGTGCAAGCGCACTTTATCCGCCTGCCTGAAGAAGAGAAGGGCCAATAATGGCGACTCTTTGATCTCAGTAACTAGTCAAATCGTGGAAGACCTGTCGCCCTGTCTAAATTATCATCGGGCCTAAATACTACTGTTACCTACTTTGCTCTACTCATTTTACAAGGAGCACGGTGTTATTGAGAGCTTAAGACTTTGAAAAATAACGGATAGATCAAGTGCCCACACATTTTTGCGTGCGCCGATTCCGAACACGCAGCTGTACACCGATGAACAAATAAATGCACTTCGCTTAGGCCAAACGAATCAAGTGAATGAAATTTGAAAGTTGCTAGGCTTTGAAGAGATTATATTGTTTGTATAAGTATGTAGGTTAATTTTAGATGGTTTAGAATATGGTACAAGTTTTAGCGTATGACTGAGAGCTGATCACTTAAGGTCAACGTAACATTTTGGCCACCAAGCAATTCATATAGATTGTGTTTTTGTTAGTAGGCTACGAAAGGATGAGTAAATAAAAATAAATTATATTAGGTACACATCTTAAGGTACAATTTAGTTTGATAACGGTGTAGCTGAGTGGTCTCTGTTAAAGCTACTGGAGGTCGATGAATTTAATATTGTCAACAGAGCGAGTATTTAAAGAAATTAGCTTGGTATTTTATAGATTTTATTATAAAAAAATGTATTTTAGGATTTTTTTCTAAAAATCGGAGGTGGTCTACTGTGTCATATCTCTCCCTATGAGTAGCGTAAAATATTATATTAGAAGTACACTTCATTAAAGTCGTCCAAGTAACGTCATTTAACATGAGTTTTGAGCCTTTGGGGGCTGTTTATCCGAGACAAACGTAGTCGCCTACGACCGCAACATACAGCGACACCCTTTAAGTATAATCCTCATAAGATCACATTTTTTTATAAGGCAAACAACAATCTTTAAAGCTAAACCTTTGATGAGGGGAGAGGGGAGGTCGAGCGGTTAACCGATAACGAACTTTCGTGCGAATACAATAAAAACAAAATTCGAACGTCTACCACTTTCCTGGAATGGGGGTAATTTTAATACTAGAGGTGGCTGTTTATCCAAATATTTTCATTAAAAAATATTATATTTTTATTGGAGAATAAGTTAATGACTTAGTCCGCTCCGTCTATCTGAGACGGATGAAACTAACAACTCCTAAATTTGTACTTGATGATATATACGCGTATATTAACCTCCGGACGCCAAATAGATTGTAATTCGCTGCTTATATAAAATTTAGCACAAAAATATTATATAAAAAAACAGTAATTTAGAATTTCACCATCCTTATTTACAAATCGGAAGTTAAAATGACGCATAGAAATTTCAGAATAAAAAAATATTACTGAGCCAAATACATATACTTAACAGATAACTAGAAATCTGAAGCGATACAATTAAAAAATTACAAACTAATTAATGAAAAAAAAAAACAAATTCATGACACTTAATAAAAACGTTTTTAAACTGGAAGCTTCGTGTGACTCCGTCTTAGCCGTATAAAGAAATTAAAATCGTAATGCCTAAAAGAATCAAAAAAGAAAATATTTTTTGTCATTATCGAACTTAAGCAGCTCTGTTCGTTTCTATGACGTTATTTAAACCTATCTAGACACGATCTAACCTAACTACAGTAACCATTGCTTACGTACTACATTACACTTCAGCGAGTTTGTCCAAAATGCCATCCATCACTTCGCCTCACATTCGCATTACTTGCAGAACCCTTGTAGGCCAGAACGGGGCATGTTACCCAGAGAACGCACTGCATTCCCAATCGCGCGCAATCGCAATGAAACATCCGTTCATATAAAACCTAGGCTAGGCAACACAACACATGTCCACTCGATAAACTCGATCACCTGCATATTCTCTCCGCATCGAATAACTGGCATTTATGATAAACCCGTCACAACTCCACACTGGCTAGAACATATTGCACTGTACTGAGGCACTCCCGCCTCAGCCTCCGTGCAAAATGCTCGAGCCGCCATCCGCCTACGAAGCCCTATATCACAATAACCGTGAACTCTCCTAAACGTCATAGAAACCTAAACGAGAAATGGTGTTATTTCATTCTTTTATTTCAAACTTAGCTCTATGCCTGGTATTATTTTACATTATCAAGAAGGCTGAATCCATCCTAAGTATAGTCAGTTCAGTCACTAATACAGATATAAAAATTTTTGAAAAAAATGTGATGGGTAGTTAGCAGCAAAATTAAAATTTATGAAAGCTAATAAAATAACAGAACGAAGTAAACACCTGGTTTAGACATTATTAATTTCTCTCCATTGCAAATGGACCAGCCATAGACAACGCTCAATATGCTTTTGTCAAATTGATAAAACTTTTTTAAAGGCGCTAGGTTGTAAGACAACCTACTTATTTAAAAACAGATCTCGATTAACCACTAATGTATCGTAACAATAATATTTACAATTAAATAAAAAAAATCGGCTTTTAATCCAACTTTTTAAGACACAGATATAGTCTGCAACTGATTCTAGGAATGGAGACATTACTTTCTAGGAAGCATAAAGTTGTCAGGTCAACGAACTTGCATTGTTATTACTGTACAGAAGAACAGTATTGCATTAATTTGTCATACAAGTAAAACTGCACATTTTCTCCTTTCTAACAACATCATATGATTTCAGAAAGTAAACTCTGCATCCGTAGTTCCAAACATTTGTTGTTATTAATTTAACATACTTCAATTGCAAAAACACAAAAAACACATTGCATATCAGCAAATCAGTTCGAATATTCCAGGCTTTACAACCTTTCCAATGCCTACAAACACATATCAATAATATTGTTAATAACTTTGAAAATATTACAGGCTATTTTATCCTTCAATAAATTTAAATTTGAAATTACTATTATAAGAAATCTGTACATTTAATTGCTATTAATAAATCAATTTACACCGATCACAGATATACATTTTTGTGTGCACTGAAAAGGTCTCAAATCATACGAACGCACGAAAACTCGTGTTGTCTCTCTCGCGCACAGCGTAGAGAACCATTCTCTAAGAAGACCTAGTATTTGCAACCATTTGTACTTTTCACAAGTGACCACCCTAGCTTAAACCAGCAATGAATATGTTTCTCTCACACAACAGTCATTATCGAAACTGTAGAGACGGTGCAATGTATTGTAAATAAATATAATAGTGTATGTATTACTAGGTACATATAACAATTAATATTATGTATTACATTTTAATCTTAGTTCAGGTAACGGACTAGCCGAGGGTCAAAAATTTAAGGTTACTAGGCCTTCAGTTCCTTTCATAAAATTGTGTCAAGTATCAAACTTGTTTTTTGGAAGTTTTTTTTCTACTAACAAAGTGTCTACTGTGGCGTTTTTGATACGCATTTATATGGAACATGTATTGAAGGAAGAAGTTTTGAAGCTATTGAAGGATTTATTAACTATATTTAAATTGTAATTGAATATGAGGATTCTATGTTAAATGTGTATCACCAAAGGCCACAGCAGTCACACCAAGCCTAACAAAATTTTTACATTTATGACGGCAGTTAGTGAGATCTTTCGAAAGTATACAAAAAAACATTTAAAAAAACTGTCCGTCAATGGACTTAGTCGAAATGGTGGGAAAATCTGCCTCGCACACACGGCATATTGTAGTTCTTTATCAATAATAAAAAAAAATATACTTATAAATAAGTGAAGCCGACATAATGGTACAATGTATGAAACAAACAGACAATTTCTCTTCAATGTATCGGTCAACAATGAGGCCGGTTAACCAAGATGATTTATTATCAAATTAAAAGAAACAAGAGCACCTAGAAATTGGTTCCTTAATATTTTTTTTACATTTTCAAGTCATTTCAAAGACATTGACTAGGTACGTCTAGAGTACAGTGTAATGGTGACGTTTATTGAGACAGTCGCAACTAAATTATAACTTTATTAAAACACATTGACCCCATGTCACATTCCCAGAGGTATATTAAATGAAATAACAAACTGTTCTCGTTGTATTTCAATAAATACGTTAAATAACCGTCACCATTCCACTTCACATTGATAATGAATTCTAAATACATAAATTCAACAGACAATATTATTTCTCAAACTATTCAAGCGAGTCACATTGCTTTCCCATCATCAATAGAAACCATTCCTAAACAGAACTGATCTAAGAACATCTAACCATCTGATTCACCGGTAATAATTTCAGTCTGTTAAAAATTCGGCAGAATACGCTATTACCTCCTTGTATAGTCTTTGACATTTAAAAAGTACAAATTGTTTATTCACTGAAACACATCTATGACAATGGCCAAAGCTTACAATTAAAAAAAAATACCGAGAAATGTACTTATCAGTCATAAGAGTTATAACAAGAAACATACCTTGTGACCATAGAATTTAAAGTCGATACCTTCGACGGCTTGTAAACGGGTGAAATGAAACGATATCTCCCATACGTCGATACGTCGACGCAGTTGTCCATTCAGCACACTATTATTATCACAAAAACTTGTTTTTTTTTATCCAAACCGTACGTTTAGTCCGTCGGTACGCGGCAATGGCACAACCCGCTCATTTTTGTTAAAATATCTACACATTTTAGACACACATAGAGCACTACTTGTTCAGTAAACATCACTAGGATTCAAGGTTATAAGTGTTTTCCGCACCGTGTTACAAGTTCAAGCCTTTGCCGGTAGGGTGGGGGGTAAAAGCGGGGTTTTATTTATAGAAGTGTGGAGAGGTCACCGAGGGCCCGAGCCAACCTCACAAGTATGTCGATTCACCTGAAAATGTAAGAAACCCATATAAGCATTTGAACGATTACATATGCCACGGACAGATTATACATTTGTTTGAATTTTAAGGCTTTTCAATAACAAATAACACTTAAATTCCAAGCAACTTTATCTACGAGTAAAAAACATTTAATTAAAATTATTATAACAGTAACAACGATTATTTAGTGACAAATTCAAGCCGAAAATTCAAACAAATGATGTAAACATATTTTCTAAACGCCTTATTTACTATGAAGGAATAAAGAAATGTAACAAAAAAATTAAAAAAAAAACAATGAGGCGTTTAAAAAAATCCGTATGTGGCGTGTGTGATGCGTTCAAACTGTGCAAAGCGAGCAATGTACAGCGAATGGTATGTTAGGGAAACGTGTATGTACACCGGGCGGAAATTCTGTGACATATTGATAGACAATTTATTGTCTCCAGTATTATATATATACACAAATGTGTTGCTCGACAATTATTAATGTAGAAGTAATTTTAATCATATATTTGAAGTGTTTCATGTCGAAACATACTTAGATATTGTAGAAAACAATAGCCAAGCCAAGCAAAACAAATATGAATAGAAACGTACACAGTTTCCGCCGGGTAGTAAATGAATTATATGTAAATTTATATTATATGAGGTAATGTGAATTCGTTCGCAATATGTACACATAACACAATCCACACAGAGGGAGTTAAGATGAGCAGTATGGCCATTATTTTCAGTTATAAGCTAAAAATAAGGGTCAATAAAGTACTCAACTTTTGTCTTTGTTGAATGACAAAAGCAGAGTAGAATAATTAGGGACAAAACAGCATTCATATACATCAAAAGCATGCAAAAGACGAATTTAAGCACAAATCAATGACATCTTGAAGGTTATAAAAAGTGAACATGAAATATTTACAATGCAAAATAAACTTTAGTAATAAAATTATAAGACTGAGTTTTAAAGGGCTATAAAAACATTCAAGATGTCATACATAATACATATAAATAAAAAAAAGACGAACACAATAGAAAAACGGAGATTAGAACAAGAAACATGTAGAAATGGTATAAGTAGACAGTTAAAACACACAGCGAACGAGCGAACGATCCTATCGTGACGATGCGGTGGTACAAGCAATGAACGAACTTGTGAACGAATTGAACGTAATAAGCTGCAAGCCTTAGCCAAGTTGACCATCTATAAGAAGTAACAAAATATACAAAACGCCTTACAGGTGCAAGTTTTTAAAATTGAAAAACTTAAGTGATTCTATGAGCCCTGGTGTAGATCGAAACTAGTTGAGCTTCGTCGAACTGTTAATATGAGAAACGCGTTAGCGCTTAGTGCCTTAGCACTTAGCCGCACAGTACATTTATATGTTTTTCTATAGCATCAACGACTGTAGATAATCATCTTAGCTAAGGCAGCTGATGTTTATTGGAAAAGCCGAGCAGTCAGTGACAAACGTGCTAAACAAATACAGCAACATAACGCAGTATCATGATACGCAAATGAGGTAAAAAGAAAGGTGGTATTATGTTATTTTACTTTAAGTTTCAAAATGTTCTCGTTTCTCGATTCAGGACGTAAACAATGTCTGAGCTTACTAAGTTCTAGGGAATCTATTAATGTATTTTTTTTACATTTATGACTAGCAAAAATGCTTATACACCATTCTTAGTTACTGTTTTTATAAATTTCTAGTTTTTACTTGGGTCGTCTACGTACTAAACATTGTCATAACTTTTAAGTACAAAAAAATATGATTTTTTTGTTGATGTATCAATTTGGAGTCTAACTTAAGCTAGATTTTGAAGTAGAAATAACTATTGTTTTAGGTGTATAAGACTGCCGATGTATGGAGTATGTACAGGGAGTGAGTAGATGGTGGTAGAGTGAAGCGGGTGTAGCAGGCGATGTAGGGAGCGCTATGCAGTGAGATAGTTACGTGTGCGGGGCGTGGCGCGGCGACAGCGGGCGGTAGTGGCCCACGCGGCGGCAGGCACGCCCTGCGGGGACACGCACACTCACGCACTGCGCTGCCTGCCCACCCACGACTCGGCCCGGGGGTACGTCACCGTGCCGGGGCGCGCCAGAACGCTCATACATTTCATAGCACTCGAGTGTATCTCTAACAGTAGTAAACTTATGATACCGACAGGCTTAGGCGCGCCACGCCACGGTAATGTATATCTGCCATCACTCATGGTACTCATACACAACGATTTACTTTTACAATAGTAGTTTTGCACCTGTTATTTCCTCACCCCAAGTTGTTTTAGCCCCACTGGTGGTCAAAGACAAAATATATTTATAACAACTAAATCGTGAAGTTTTGAAACGTCAAAATAGAATAACAGTCTGTCAGACTTGTTTGTCGATAAAGTTAGATGCTGGGTCAGAGATTATTCGTTCTTTAAAAAAAAACATTGTACAAATTATTGTTTACATATGTGGACATTTGCAATATTCTTATAAGCAATTCTCTCTACCCATCACTGAACTTGGAGGGCATGAATACAATTATAGACGCCCTATTTACAAAGTTGGAACAATGTTTACCAAAGGTGCCAATGGCAATATAAAAGATTGTTATTATAGCCCAAAATAAAATTGCAATATACACCTACGTAAGACCAAAACAGATGAGGGACAAAGAAAAAACCGATTTGCACAAGTTCTTCATTACTGCAACATTTGATATCAAGATTCTTGGAAAAATAATCGCTTTCTGTATGACTACCATAATACTCAGACCGTATAGATTGAGTCGTAGATGTCAGGTCTAGGTTTTACGTATAAATTACTTCACGAGGAGAAATCCAACCAATTTTATTTGACAACTTTGGTATTAATTTGATGTGGGATTCCTCTAATAGTTAGTCTTCGAACTTGGGAGACTCAATGGTGATAATAATTTGATTATCCTTAGCATGTTTAGTATAATACAATAAATATTTATTCAAAGCCATATAAAATCAGTTGAATTTCAATAATTGGTCTTTGAATATCATGTAAATATTTTAAATTGCATTGTCTACCTCACTTGGCTTTTAAAATTACTGAATTATTTGAGTGATAAAATCATGATTCGTGGAAAAATAAATCAAAACTATCCCATACCTATTATATTTTGATACAAAAATTTCGACAATTGTGTGCATTTTTTTCAGTGCAAAAATATTAATTCCCTATTTGAAACCTACATTTAGTTTCTGCCGATACTTTCGATATGAGTGGGCCATTATAACGGACAAAATGTGTGGGTTCTTGATGTCTATAGATGAAAAATTCAACAGCATCTAATATTAGTAGATTATTATTAAACTGGTATTTTTGAGTCTTCTGAATGAAACGGATTTATATCTTTCGGATTAGAGAAAGTGTAGTCTTAGGATATCTGCCTCAGCCATAAGCAGGAGAAGGTTCCTTGGTCAGTAAGAGACTGACCCTCTCTCTCGCCAAGGGTGAGGCGAGAGAATATCATAACATGTCGAGACATTTCATTATACCTTACAAAAAAAAAGATATCTAATATCTATCATTCAATAAAAGTATAGTTAATGTACGTATTGTACATATTTTGACAGTAACCAATTTTAAAAAACCGACTGCAGATAACAAATAGTAGGTACGCAATTTTGTATAAACTGTGTAGCACAAAACTTTATCGGGTACTTATATGAAGATGGTAAACCAGGCCCTTATCCTAAAATTGATACAACAATCTATAGGATAATTTTATACATATGAACTCATTAGCGACCCGCCCTGGCTTCGCACGGGTGCAATGCTGTTACGAAATGTATCCACTATGTAATGGATGTTATTATTCTTAAAAACAATCCTCTTCAATTACTCTAACTATTAAAAAAAAACTCATCAAAATCCGTTACATCCTTTTAAGGGATATAGGGACTGCGAAAGCGACTTTGTTTTAAACTCTGTAGTGATAGTGAAGTGTCTAGTTACTCACATCTATAGACATCAATCACCACATTCCACGGTAATAACCATCACCCAGATTAACAAACACAGTGATTTCCATCACTAAAAATAATCACCATCCTCTCTATGTATAGTCGAAAACGATACCGCATGGAACATTCTAGAAGCACCAACGTAAACCGACGGGACACACGAACAAATACCCCTTCCGACAGATCTAAACGTAACGTCTTATTAGAACACATTCATTTATTTTTATATCTAACCATTTTGTGTTTGTAGCGTCAGTAATTTAAATTATTATTGTTAATTTTTTGATTAAATATTACTATAACTCTTCATATAGTCAGCTAAACTGCCAATAATTTTGGATTGCTCGAACAGTTACATGTTAAAACCGGGTCCCTTAAACCAAATGTGATCCATTTCTTAAAAAATATTGTAATTAACTACTATTTCTAAATAATATTTAATCAAAAGTAACAAAGATTAAAGTACTGACACATAAAACAGTTAAGAAATTCGTTATCGGTACAAGAGATCAACGCGCGGCCCGTGCCGCCTCTCCGCTATAAGGTATAACTAACTCCTGTCTACTAAATATAAACGTTATTTATAACATAAACTATTAAACCGATTATCACTAACATACGTGTTCGTGCAATGTGGTGGGAATGTACTGATTATAATAAGTATCATAATAGTTTCTTTTCGAAACTATTTGTAAGTAAGTTTCACCTACTTTCAAATATATTTAAAATCAGTTTTCTCTGCGTTTACGTACAAAAGCGATATTAAAATTATATAATTACTTATACACCCATCACATTGTACGCACACAGAATAATAAATTGCAGCGAACGCTTAGCGTCCGCGTGAAATATTCAACAAAACAAAAAAAACCGCGTAACACGATTCACACATCCACACTAGAATTATTTAAGAACGAGTTAAAACTAACTTTTTATTTAGCACATAGTTATAGAGTCCTTGTTTATTGGTTAACGACACCCACTTTGAAGTCTAGTGTAGGACAGAGCCGGATTATGTATCAAGTAATAGTTTCTGGTCGACATATTTTGTATCCAATCTCAATACTATACCTGTCTGTAGATTTCACTGTATAGTTTGATAGTAAAAGTATAAAATGCTTTTAAAATATGAAACCCCAAGTTAAAACAAATGTTTTCGTTACACATGCTAGTTCAACACAAAATATATCAACTCAAATCAATTATGTATCAAAAAAGTAATAATTACTACTGTCAATCATCATAAAGATATTATATACTGATAAAATATCATATTAAGGGCTGATTTTTCAATAGTCAAATAAATGTTATCTGAGGAACAAAATTGTTGCTGTCACTATCTTATACAAACATTCTGACGCGACAGAAACATAATTATTCCCTAGGTAACCTTTATCTACCCATTGAAAAATCAGCCTTTAGTAAAACAGATACAGTTCAAGCAAATCTATGGACAAATAAGTGATTGAGTCTGGTAGCAAGTATAGAGTCGACAATGAATCACATTTGCACCTATTTTGTCGTATAATCCGGCCCTGGCAGGTGTGAGTGTCGTATATTCTACCGCGAGAGAGTGAGCAGAGTGATGGGCAGCTCACCGGAGTCCCAGTGCGCGTCGGGCTCGGGGTCGTCGGGCTCGCTGCAGCACGACGACGACGACGACACCGCCGGGGACTCGCGCGCCGGGTGACCGCTGAACGTAGACGACATCGGCATCTTCTGTACTATTAGCTCCACCTGCAAATATGATGAATGGATTTATTTTGTTGCTAATTGTTTATTGACTATTTTTGTGAGGGGGAAAATAATAAATATGACTCTCTCTCCTCGACTTCAAAGGAAGAGGCGGTAGGAAAACGTAAAAAACGGTGAGCTCCCTCTTCCTTTCCTAGGAAAGGTTAAAAATTATCATAGGTAACTTATATTAGTAATATGAAATGAATATATTTCTGTTTATTATACAATATATTATGTTTGGAATACAATAATGACTTAGTGGGGTTATGAGAAAATTAAGGAGGGTACATTTTCCTCTTAACAAAGGATGTCTTGAGACTAAGTGATGGTGGAACCTATTTTAAAATCATCCTATTTAACATTTTGTTGCACAACACCAACATGTTGCGTTAATAATCTCGTTAATAATCCTCGGTTAATAATAGTCACTGAATCACAGACGAGTTTTCTCTTAGGTAGGGTCTCATAAAATAGTCCAAGTTTTATATGGTGTCAATAATATTACCTTAAAGTCTGGACTATAGTGTTTATGTTGCTTGTCCTTGTGCGCCTCGTCCAACTGCCACTTATTTAACGTTAGCTTGAAAGCCTCTAGGTTCGGACCTGAAAACATTTAAAACAACATGTTAACTATGCATTACAATATACCATTGTGAATGAGAAACATAATAAAATGTTTAAATATAAAATATTGTGTGGAGAGTCGACTCGACCGGAGTGATACCACGGCCTCACAGAAAACCGGCGTAAATCAACCACAGCGTTGTGTTCGCCGTGTGCGTGAGATTCCAGGAGGCCAACTCCCTTATCCCCAACGCATAAATAAACTCGTAACTCCTCTGTTGTTGCGGGTGTCCACGGGTGGTGCTGATTGCTTATCATTAGGTAATCTGTCTGTAATTCCAAAGCACAAATGTCTGAATCAATTCAAAGACTTTGATTTTGGCCTGAGGTGAGTAATTAACTAAAACAAAAGCATATATACTAACTATCATCTAACGCTGGCACTCGTTCAGCCCCGACGCCGGCAGCCACGAAGAACGTGTTGAACCAGAAATGGAAGAGTTTCTCCTTGCGCATCTTCATCTTGGGCTTGTTGTAGACGTCGACGCGCACGTCCCCGTACAGCGGCGTGCAGTGCGTCAGGTACACGCGGATACTGCCCTCGTCTTTCCGGACCTCGTGGCAGCCCGACGGCGTCTGCAAGTGGAACGGAGCTTTGGAGGTAGGGGTAGGTGCACAATTAAATATGTTTCAAAGGTTTTGCTATGTAGAATCGGTGATCAATTTTTTGTCTAACAATGCTTTCTATTTTGAAAATGTTGGAACATTCATTTCTAAAATTATTCTACCAACTCTATTGTGTCCATCGCTTCGTCATTTCTCGAGTAAGGCCTACCAAAATTTTTACAGTACATACCACACTTAAATGCTCTATGTACAAAAGCTTAAGAGTAACCGTGTATCTCAGATCAAGATTGCATGTAATCATTGTTCCAACCACCATAGTTAAGGCTATGGTGGTCAATTTAGTAAAGCTATACAACTTTTTGAAGACCCATATCAACAATCACCATGGTTTAATCAACGAATTGCTTGTACATAGTTCAGTTTCTTAGCCGTCAGGTAGAAGTTATGTTACTGTACGGATTGTGAGTAGTTAGTACACTGATTTGTCGGGGAAATTTTTAAGTTGAGTTAGTATAGTTACAAAAAAATGTACGGCGACGAGACGTACAGTTACCTTGAAGGAAGGCTGTGCCTGTGAGACGGTGAGCTCGGGCGAGCAGGTGCCCCCGTTGAGCGTGGGCGGCGGCGACATGACGAGCTCGCGGATGTGCACGCGCGTGGCCGAGTACTGCAGCCCCGACGTCACCAGCGCCGCGTAGTACTCCACGTAGCGCCGCTGCGAGGGGATCGTCACGCCTGGAATCAAAGCCATCATCATTTTAATTTAAGTATAAAGCTACGATACGAGATACATTTACTGAATCACAAAAATAGTAAAAGAATTTATTAATTTTTTTACTATTTTTTTATTTTTATGAGAGACAGGTGTTATTTAGATCATGCAAGACAAATATTGCTTTAATTAACTGTATGCAACTTGCATAATGTAAATGTGTTTTTTTTATAACAAAACACTTTGTGCCACAGTGATTGGCAAGTTTTGGGATCACCGCATAACTGGTGGTTGGTTTAAGACACACCAGGGATCTAACGATTTCATATCGTATTGTTTAACTATTGCAAATAATTATTTTGTATTTGTGTATTTTGGCTAATTAGAAGAATCATTTTCATAAGACCAAGAGTTGCCACTGCTGGAAAATAAATATCCCAGAAGCCTTTCGTAAACATGTCTGTAAGTATTATATGTATTTAAATAATTTATTTTCTTTGACTTAGTATTAGCAATACACATGAGTGATCAAATGCAAAAAACCTTGACCTTATTGGAATGTGTTCCTCTACTCTATCCAGGGTTATCACAGCACAGCTCGTGCGGAAATCAAAATTAAACCAGACCGCGCTGATAAACTGTAACATTTAATTCTTTATATCGATCTACTGCCCTAAAAATGTTTTAAAATTGAATTTCTCATTTTCAAAAGACACTGTTTTGTCTGTCTAGTATATTTTAGTAGTCCTACAGCTGCGAATTAGGGTTTTTAACATTACTTAGATAAATCATATTTAGCCATAATATACAAATTTGCTCATGTGTTAGTAAGCGCAAAACTTGAGAGCGCAAGGGACGGGCGGCTAGTTTGATATAAAAACCGAATACTTGTACTTAGCTGTTATTAGAAAAGTAAATTATTTATGATACCAAGAACTTGTAACAGACGTTTCCATGCAACATATAACTTAGAATCATAACCAATAAGGGTCGTTTGACATAATAATATTAGAAGCTTCACAGAAATTGATGAAGGCTTTCCAATGAAATTCAATTTCAATAAGTGACGGCTTTATTTTGTATTAAATTTAATTTTCATTTGGAAACTTCTATGGAAACCTTAATATGACTTATCGTGGTTAGTTTAAGTCTAGGGAAATAGCTAGGTAATACAATTCGTATCAGGACTACGTTTGAAGAGCTGTTTTCCTAGATTAAAGTTGGGTTTTACTGGACATATTTAATTTTAGTAGAAAAAAAAAACGTATTAAACTATGAAAAATATTTCTAGGACTGCTTTAATGAAATTCCGTTTAGATGACAGGCTCTCATGAGATCTTTATGAGAGTTGTGTCGACCCTTAAAACTGTTAGGAAATTGTAGTGAAGTGGGAAAACATTTGAGAATGTTTAAAAACAAAACATTGTGACAAAAGCTGAGTATGGAAGGGGTTGAGTGTAAGACACTGACTCTCGCCTACACAGAGCGATTTTACCCCCCTTCAAATGAGTATGGAAGTCAGAGCCTACATGAGAACACGAGGCATGATATACGATTAAATATAAACCGACAGACCATTAAAAAAGCAATACGATCCCAACATTAGACAATAAACAGTAAATGCATACGTTACTAAGTATCGCAGGCTGTAATCGATAACACGTGTTTCATACAAATTATAACAACAATAAAGTGTCATTTGCATAGAAAATGCGCGCTGCCTGCTACAATTATGTCAAAGTTATTGAAGAGAATTGACACGTGCAGTGTCCCTTTATGAAAGTTATCGAGTTCACTTCGAATAGCGGGCCGTCTGGTTATTAACATGACTTTATTATTTGATAGAATTTATTCAAACGGTTTTATTTATTCATTTAACTAAAACTTAGAAAATGTTCCCCTTTTTACACGCAATAGAAGAAAACTACTCACAAACCTCGGAAGGAAACGTCTGAAACATCTTTCCAAAAAAAGGTTTTCTAAAAAATGCATTCTTATCCTCCGAGCACAAAGCAAAAAGTAGTAAAAATAAGTGAAGTTACAAAAATACCTTTTTCGTCGTGGGTTCTCTTCGTGCCGTAGAACTTGAGGGCTTCGTCCGCGGACGCTTTCTGTCGGCTGTACAGTAGGTAGCAACACACCATTGTCCCTGTAACACAAAAACATTATATTTTTATACCATGTAATACAATTTTTTCTATACAATTCTTCCTAAATAAAAAATTTTGGAACTTTCTTTCCTTTTGATCACGATATGGGCGGTGCTCGAAACATTTACAACCGTTAAATTTTACTTGATCGATAGAGTTATTTACGACTTTGTTGTAATGCAAAGGTCCCAATGGACCAGAGCTCAGAATTGCAGCTATGTATAAATAAAATATATCGGTGTATTCGTATGTAAATCGTACTTTATGTGCCTGTCTGGGTAGATAACATCAGAGCCCAACATAAAATGCTATTCCGAAACTTGTGTGAATATTAACATTTCCGTTAAATAATATATCGATAGAAAATCGAAGTGGTCTAAATAAGCGAGGTTTTGTGGCGCAAACACGGCTCATTTCACGTCCACGCAGCAATCCTACACTTTTTATATCCCTTCGGGGCAGCCCACAAAAAAGGAGGCGGTTTGAAAAGGACCTTTTTTTAATTTACGACTTCGGCGTGAAAGCCGGTACGGTGGTAATACGACCAATTATGGCGTGTAAAGAAATTTCGCAATTACGCCTTTGAGGTTTCGTCTCATTTTTGTTCGTGCAACAATGCCGGCCTGGCCATCCGTTCTATAGGCAATAACGTGGCACGTGTAATTTGTTGCTTTAACCTTTGTTACCGAAAACGTTCTGGGACCTATTATGCTAACTTTTATCTGTCTGGAATGATATTAGTACGTAATAATTTATTCTTTTGATATTTTAATACGCGATGTAGCGATACACATTAACAAATGGAGTGCACGCAAAAAGGTCACGTTTGTCGACGAATAATGGAGCTGTTGTGATGCTCAAATTGGGCATCAACCCCTTTGGAGCTTTTGCTTGCAAGTTATTGCGGCAACTGGCGAAAGTGTCAACTTAATGTTGGGACCCGCTGCAGGGCTTCTTTGTCGGTGTTGAGGGAAGGATGACATTTATAGTTGCACAAAACTGTCTTGCGATTCGAATCAAAAGGAATAGTAAAAAATTTTTCACACGGGACCACCTGGCCGTTGCAACTTTCTTCACTTTGTTAACGTTTCCTTTTATATGAATTATCTTGAAGATATAAAACCAAATTTATATACATATAAATTCTTACCCGTCCGTCCTTTTCCCGCTTTACAGTGCACGGCGGCGACATTTTTGGAGTCAGCTGAGAGCCAGTTGTGGACATCTTCACAAAATGGCTGAATCAGCTCGATATTAGGCGGCGTGTGGTCTTCTAACGCGTATCGCGCCACCTGCAATTATAAATAATAGGGCATTATAAATCGAGTAGTAGTATAGGTATGTATTTTTTTTCCTTTTTGTTAAGGAAATGCATTCTAGTTTATTGAAGAGCGCTGCCTACCATTGCAATAGAGTATGCGGATGAAACCGCGAAGTAATAGTCAGAATTTACTAGAAATAGAAATAATGCAATTTCGCTTATAAAATATATCTAAGAATATTTTCTAATGACTACGTTATATCCTCACGATTGTTTGACAAAAGCTGAAAGACTTGTCCGGTGTTGGTCAGGTTCTGATGAAGAAAGACTTGGTAAGCTGATACAGGAAACTCGATGTAGACGGACGGACTTAGGTGCGCGCGATATGACGCCTATGTTGAAGAAATTCAGGAAAAGTTCCGTTGATATTGTCACTGGTGATTAAAAAAAACAACGTATTGCAATTTACTTTGATCTAGGTGTTAGGAGAAAGACAGGCCGCCGGTGCATGATCCACAAGATGGAGTCACGTAGTATTGAGGGTTTTCGATACTTGAAATTCCTGTTAGCTCATTTTTAATATTGAGCCAGATGAGACTAATAGTAGCTGATACCTATATAGACCTAATAATATAATTTGATAGACACACCTCTTATCAAGCAACAGACGTAGACGTGACGTTTCGATAAGTACTTATGTTTAATTGTTTATATGCGTAATACGTTTGGCAAAAGTTTATACAAAATGTATGCCATGTATGCCATGATTGTATGCTATGTTACGTTTCTTTCGATCGAGTCGACATTATTGAGTAGGTGTTTGCGTTGGCAGACAGTTACATCGGTTCATAAAACCATTTCCCACTATATCCTAAGTCTAATGTCCAAAGAAACAAGTATGCGTTTTGTTCAAAGCAATCCGAATACATGTTAAACACGATTCAGTTGAGAAAACTTTACCAATGTTTCTTTTTTTGTACAAAGAATTTGAAATATTTCAGAACTTTGGACACTTTATTAATGTTGTGGTGCTTAAGCTTGTCATATGGGAAGCGTGCTTGGAACGCCTCCAAAATTTCAAATAATCTGCATGCAATGAATTTTTATTTATTACACGAATAACCTGTACTGATATAATTTAGAGAAAGGGCTATTCTCGTATATTTTGTTTATAATTTAATTTATAATTGTGTGTGATTTTCTGATATTGCTTTGTGTAAATTGACTGTTTGACCTTGATCTTGTGACTTGTGACGTAGAGATGGATAAAGTTGATCGTTTACGAGAAAATAGACGGTATTGCTTAAACCAATCTTCGGCAGTAATGTTTAAAACCCCCTACAGAAAGAGAACACAAGGGAGATCTATTACCATATCTGTACGTACCAAGCACAGTCCAAATCTGGGGTAGGTAGACCACATCTTACCCAAAATGTGCTCACGCATGAACTTCTCTATGCTAACACGTCATTGTACATTATCATTCTTTACCCAAACGGTACAAAAGCAAAGCACTTAAAAAATTGGGACCATTACAGTACAGATAATCATTGTGTAAACATTGACGAAGATGTTTTTTTCCAAACAAACATTGAGATCTCTGGCCACCCCTTTAACGGAGATTGGATTCATAAATAAATTAAAGCCTTTTAGAGTGGTCTCGTGAGTATCGTTATTTGAAACTATTAGTAATAGAGCTAATAGCAATTATTTTTCTCATATATGGCTTCCTTGACGTACGAAGAGTGGACAAAACGAGATCTTGCTTGTAATTACTGTTTCCCTATAACATGTCTATATATCTTTATGTAAATACTTGTGTATATACTGTACGTATATAGGTATTAATTTCTCAATAGCAAATACCACAATAAAATATACATTTTCCCTCTTAATTCCAAGGATACCGTTTCAATCGTCCACAAAACTGATGTACATCATAAGAAGTTAACGATACCGCATTGCACATCTACGCGATGTGCTAATTGCATTAAAATAAAAATCTATTACTTATTAAAATACATTTGAAAACTATAATTTATCAATGATGAAAACTAAGAGACTACATATTTCAATAATTAACGTTTCAGTAAAAAGAAAAAGAGTTTTGTTGTGCCTAAACTAAAACAAAAAAGAGAGATATAATCAATCTGTGACTGATAGACGATAGTCTCATAAAGATAAGACAATAGAAATCTTGATCTAGGTACGAATACAATACAAAGTAATTTGCATAAAGAATCTTTTGTTACAATAATATAGAACGTACTTAAAATTTTAGGTACTTATCAGCAAATCCAATTATTAATTACTATCTAATATGAAAATCGCTAGATTACCGAATTCAGTAATCTTGGCTATGTTCGATTAAATCTGTCATCAGACACGAACGGTACAGAATTGCAATAGAATTACACAATTCAGACTAAAATCCACTCCTAATACTTAATTATAAAATACCTAATTAAGTATGGGCGCCTCCTATTATGATAATACTATGAATAATGTTATTAAGATCGAATTAACGTGAATTCCATTCAAATATATTCATTACAATCAATAATACCTATAAAGGAGATTTTGAAATATATGTATAGTAAAATACAAAGACATGCGACAAGCTGGGAAGAAGCTGGTTGTTATTAAGAAAATAATTTATAAATTGAATCATCTTGTATGTACCTAAACTTAGAGTTAAATATCAACTAAGTAATCAAATAACAACTCATTTTTATATAATTAGACAAAAGGTCATCGACCCAACGTTATCTATTATTCTCAAAAAATTGGTTAAAAATGCTAGACCTTTTGTGTCCTAATCCTATTTTGGCAATAATCTGCGTCCAGCGTCAGGACCGCAGCTCATGACGCCATTACGATTAGATAAATTACTACTATATTCTATGTTTTCCTTCCATACTTAAATCATTATGGAAATACTGACAATTGATAAATGTGACAAGGAAAATGGGTCGCCCATGACGTCATATAGTGTTGCACGCGATATTTTTCTAATATTATTCAATACATATTAGCTAGTAGCATTTTTATTCTGTTACAAAGGTGAATGTATGAATTGATAACCTAGATTTCAGTCAGTTTAGTCTGTCCGGTGCCTTGTTTTGAATAAGGTTGTTTAGGAAAGAGTGTTACTGATAAAATTCCCTTAGCGAATACAGTATATGTAATAATATAAGTACACTTGTATGTATTATTCAAAGTAGTCTAAAAGGCAAGTCCCGATAACAGTATCCAGGCACACGAGTTATCGCCAGCTAGAATAAGTACGGAACCTTGGCTGTACAAATATGACGACATGTTGCGACACAAACGTGCCCTGGACCTTGATTCACGATTCTTTAACTAGTATCACAGTTCCTTATGTAATACGTCACAATAACTATTTTTGAATAACGACTCGTACTATTTAACAAACGTTTTTAATTATCTCTTTCTAATAGAAACGTACAATAAAATTATGAATGTATTTTTTTACGGGCATACTTATAGCAACACCACAATATTAAGGATTTGACATTTTTCTGTGAAGCGTCACTCATATCGACTCAGCAGCATAGCTTTCCTTCAGTTCTTAAGTATATATTTTAATATATGATTTCTGCAAACAATAGTGTAAAACCGAGAAGGAAGTACTTATCATAATAGTACTGATTGCAAGCCACACCCACTGATATTAATGGCGTGAAGATAGGCCACGTTTAGACTTCGATATAAATTATCAAGCTAGAGTCCAAAGAGGTTATTATCTATTAACATTTATCAGTGAAATTGTATGTTACATAAGGTGCTTAATTAGAATGACGTAATTATATGATTTTAATGTATGTACTTGATGTTTTAGCGCAATATAAACTGTGATGAGGATATATTGAGCTAGGTTGAGAAGTTCCAAATGGCGGGGTAGAGCATTTGACGTTTACGGACAGACTTAAGCCGTACGATAAGACCACGCCTTCGTGTCGTTTCAGTGTGCTTAGCCGTCGTGTAGTCAGTATAGCCGATGTGCTAAGTCCATAAGTAGCCTGTAAACTTCTTGTACGACTTTAATGGCACCTTCTGAACGCTCTCCAACTAAACTGTACTACTCGGCACACACGCCCGCTAGCAACAATTCTATTTCAGGCAAAGTTCTATAAAAAGCTTCCTCATAAATCAGGGTAAAAAAATCTTTTTTTTTTCAACACAAAACCGAGTTATTAATATTTTCACCGTTACTAGGCCACATTATAAATGGATAACATGGATATTATTCTTTCATTCTACTCAAGGAAATTGACAACTAGATTAGTTCTGTATATAATAATCGTTATAACATCGGCGTATCGCATTATCGAAACTATAAAGATGCAAAATTACAGTATCATTATATATAAATTATGATAATTTTATTATAAGCACGCAATCAACGGTTGAGCAATACCATATACTTGAATAAAAAATGAAAATAGCATAAACATAAATAAATAACATTCAAATTGTTTTACTCTAATTTTCGTAAACCAGATTTCGTGACCAATTTGATAGCGAATTGAGCAAGTATACCTATAATGTATATTTATCGGACGTCTCACATTTTAAAATCACCAACATCAATCATGCAGACCTAAATATTAATTTCCAATTCTTTACATAATAATGAAAAAGATAATCACGTATACAACAACATCATGTAAAAAAGTTATTCAGTGAGTATTTAATTTTAAAATTAAATATTAAAGCTTCCATTTCCTATTTATTTCCACAACACAGCATAGTTAATTGCGAGCGCTTTACAAACACAAAGCACTAATTATAGCCTATTATACTCAGAATCGCTCTACAAATAAATAAGTAAATATTGCGCTGGAAATCAATAGTTTCCATACAATCAACCACAGCATTTTTCCTACTTTCTTTTTTAAATAAACGCTGCTTCACACTAGGATTTTTTTTCAATATGTAGGTATATTATAAGTACATCACACTAGATCCGGAACAACAATTCCTGGATCATACAAGTATTGTTCTGTG